CGCAGAGAGGTGGAGGAGAGACGCAGAGTCGCTGCGTCTCTCCGATCCTCTCAGAGGATCGGAGAAGGACCAGATGGAAAGAGGGACGCAGGGAGGGGCGGGGAGGGGAAAGGGAGGAGGAGGTGAGAGAGGGCGGGGGAGAGACGCCGAGGCAGTGAGGAAGGAGGGAAGGGGGGTGACGGAGAGGAGAGAGGGAGAGGCAAGCTGGATGCGCTCGCGCCATCTCTGACATCCTGCCCCTCCCACCCATCCTTTCCCATGGCGCTGTTGGTTCTCCATCCGTCGACGCGTGTCACTGCGGACCTGGGGCTCCGAAGAGGACCCCATCGGGTTAATATGCACAATCGGGATGAGGCGGATGAGCAGGAGGATCAGCTCGAGGAGAAGGAGGAGGAAGGAGGAAGACGGAAGGAGGAGGAAGGAGGAGGAAGGAGGCGGAAGGAGGGAGGAGGAGGAAGGAGGAGCAGGAGGAGGAAGGAGGAGGAAGGAAGGAGGAGGAGGACGAGCAGCAGCAGCAGGAGCTGGAGCGCAAGTGCGCGGGGAGGACAGGAGGACCAGGGGAGGGCGGAGGAGAGGGGACTGGCGGGGGCGAGCAGCGGTGACAAAGAGGACGCGGATCCAGAGAGGAGAGGCCTGCAGCTGGGGCGGAGGCGGCGCCACTCCGAGGAGGGGGGGGGCAGAGCGCCGATCCGAGAAGGAGGAGGAGGAGGAGGAGGGGCACCCGCTGCAGCGGGAGCAACATGTCTGAAACCCAGAAAACGCCCGGGCGATAAGGGTACGCATGCTAAGAATGGACGCTAGACATCCGGTGTGGAGCAGGCAACACGCCAAGAGGGCCGACCACCCTCTGGGCAAAGCCAGGGGAGGGAGGACAGCAGTATTCAGAATGCGTAACTCTAGAGGGGAGGAGAGGGGCGAGGGGGACAGAGGGGGCGAGGCGACTGAGGGTGGGAGAGTGAAGGATGGCGAGGAGGGTAGGGTGAGGAAGAGAGAGACGATGCAGGGAACGACTAACAACCAGTTTACACATCTGGCAGCTTTGCCAAAGCGTGACAACAATAGACGGAAGCGAACCCATCTTGGGGAAGGATGGAGCGCTGCAGCGCAGATCACAGCACAGCATGGCCCACCTTTGATAGTCACGGCATGGCATAGCTCACCACCGCATAGCACTCCATAGCAAAGCAGCACAGCGTGTGAACACGCATCGGGACATCACATTGCGTGACGTAGCACTGCCTATTAAAACATAACGTTACGTGGCGCTTCACCAGGTACTGTTACGTGTAGCTGCACGTAGCATAATTAGCGTGTCACACATAGCATCGCAACAAATCACATCGCATAACACGCCATTGCACTAAAATGCGTACACTAACACGGATACATACAACATAGCACAACATGGCATCGCACCGTACACAATCGCAGTCCTGAAGAAGTGCGAGGCAAAGCATGGCAGAACAGTGGATTGGAACAGTAGCAGAGCATGGTGTAGTATCGCATTGCGTTACAAAACAAGTCAGTGCGAAGCTGGGTGAAACTGAGCAACTCGTAACACATCATGGCATAGCATTGCATACCACTGCACGGTGTAGACATGCTATAGCACAGCACTGCATGTCGTTGCATGACACAGCATGGCATGACAGACCATTGCATACAGCAGCGACGTATTGCTCAGCAAAGCAACTCGGATCAGCCCATAGAGGCAACACAGACTGCCAGAGAGCAAGGTAAGGTAAAGCAGCGAACCGCATCGCAACGCAAATCATCAGCAATTCCTCTGGGATGCCCTGCGAATGACGCTGGAGCGCTGCGCCGCTCCTGCACGAGGCAACCGTCGTGCTACTACTACTACTACTACTACTACTACTACTACTACTACTACTACTACTACTACTACTACTACTACGAGGAAACGAGGGGCTTCTCCCTGGCCGCAGCGAGCCGCGGCCACGAATGCCCTTCCCGACTTAAACTCGAGGGACGGCCCGAAAACCTTGTGGATGCCATGGCGATGGACACGCTAACTCTTCTGTCATTGACTTAAAGATGCGCTCAACATGTGTCAAACATCTTCTAAACATGTTTCAAACATGTTCTTACACATTTAAGACATGCTTGAAACATGCTTAGCCATCTGGAAATGGTTTGGCAACATGCTTCTTTTCCATTAGTCGACTCCCACAACGAACACCAAGAGCCCCTCCTGGGCTGCATGTGGTCCCCACTCCAGCGTGCTGCCTGTGCGGCATGCTGCTCCCTGCCACGGCCCGCGAGGCCGAGCAGCGCGGAGAGCAGGCCGAGGAGCACCCCGAAGACCCCCCGAGGACCCCCCGACATAACCCGAGGGCCCGCGGGCGGGCGCAGGGCGATCGGCGCCGGCCCCCTCGTGGCACGGAGAGAGGCAGGCGCTGGAGTACCGGGCAGTTTTTAATACATGGGATGTTTGAAAACATTGGATTTCTATACATGGTTAACTTATGAATACATATCTGCATGAGCTCATCGTTGTTTTCAATACTATATCCCTGCATGTTTAATGCATGATCCGCACGCGGAGCATGTATTAAAAACGGCACTGTACCATGTGGACCTGCGCTAGTAAGGGACGCCAGCGCGGTCGGATCTACCCTTTCTCCGACCTTGCACCGCGCCGAACGCAACGGCCACGCTGTCCGTAGGCGCATCTACCCCGAAGGTGTCTATGGACGTCACGGCACCCCATGTGTGCAGAGGCGCTTTTGGCTAGGACGCGAGAACGGTATGTGGCGTCAGCCCCAGATGTTGGTCGCTTAGAACCGAATAAGCTTGGCCCTCCAAGGCAGGAGCCCTCCGGGGAAAAGCGCGCCGCTGGCCCTGGAAACCCTGAAGCCAAAACTGCGGACGTCTCGCTTCTGCTTCCACGGCCCTCCGCCGACCTCGGGGACGTACTGACCCGGGTCATGCAAATCCGGGTCAGTCGGCCTTTGCACGATCCTGGAAGATCCTGTGGGATCCTGCAAGAACCTGCACCTTGACCTTGGTCAGAGCACCCCTGGCCCTGCAGGATCCTGCAAGGTCCAACGCTCTGGCTGACCCCCGTTTGCACTGACCCCCGTCTCTTGAGCCCCGACCACCCCCCACCAACCTTCCGCTGGCGGTTCCGCCGCCGCTTCATTTTCTGAGACGAGGCCGGGACAGGGACAGCACCAGACCAGGATACAGTAGGAGCTCGACCACAAGAAACCTTCCACAAGAAACCCAACCCCGAGACCCCAGAACGTCCATTGATTCTTGGTGTGGGAACGTCACGCTGTCCATCGCAAAACCATCGAAACCCAACAAACCCAAGAAACCCAGGGCACCCCGGGGGCAAGCAGGGTGTTTCTTGGTATGGGCGTCCACTGTAAATCGGGAGCTCTGAGATCCAGCTGTTCTGGAGGATGTGTCGCGTGCCGCTGCAATTCTATCGGAGGCGACCACAGGGGCGAAGAGCCCAGGGGCGGGCATTACACGTGTTCCCTCGGGGGCGACGATGGGGACGAATAGCCCACGGGAGAGCAACACGTGTATGCATCCAGTGGCGCCGATTGTCCATGCCTTCGGCGAGGCTCCCGGGCGAATACGTGTAACATCTGCCTCTGCGCTACTCGCCCCTATCGTCGCCTCCGATTGTAGAGCATCGATGCGTCCCTGTTCTGGCCCGGCCCGACGAAGTTCCGCCGGCTTCCGCCGAGGGCGCGGGTTCGCCGAGGGCGAGGCCCCCTCTGCAGCGCCCCCGCGCGATGTGCACGCAGGCTTAATCGGAGAGCGGTCGGGCCGCGACGTGTGTGTGTGTGTGTATGTGTGTGTGAGTGTGTGAGTGTGAGTGTGAGTGTGAGTGCGAGTGCGAGTGTGAGTGTGAGTGTGTGAGTGTGAGTGTGAGTGTGAGTGCGAGTGCGAGTGTGAGTGTGAGTGTGTGAGTGTGAGTGTGAGTGTGAGTGCGAGTGTGAGTGTGAGTGTGAAAGTGAGTGTGAGTGTGAGTGTGAAAGTGAGTGTGAGTGTGAAAGTGAGTGTGAGTGTGAGTGTGAAAGTGAGTGTGAGTGTGAGTGTGAGTGTGAGTGTGAGTGTGAGTGTGAGTGCGAGTGTGAGTGTGAGTGTGAAAGTGAGTATGAGTGTGAGAGCGAATGCGAGTGCGAGTGTTGTGAGTGTGAGTGTGAGTGTGAGTGTGAGTGCGAGTGCGAGTGCGAGTGCGAGTGCGAGTGTGAGTGTGAGTGTCAACGTGAGTGCGAGTGTGAGTGTGAGTGTGAGTGTGTGTGTGTGGTGTGTGTGGTGTGTGTGGTGTGTGTGGTGTGTGTGGTGTGTGTGGTGTGTGGTGTGGTGTGGTGTGGTGTGGTGTGGTGTGGTGTGGTGTGGTGTGGTGTGGTGTGGTGTGGTGTGGTGTAGTGTGGTGTTGTGTTGTGTTGTGTTGTGTTGTGTTGTGTTGTGTTGTGTTGTGTTGTGTTGGGTTGTGTTGTGTTGTGTTGTGCGTGCGTGCGTGCGTGCGTGTGTGTGTGTGTGTGTGTGCCGTGCCGCGCCGCGCCGCGCTCGCCGTGCGCGCGGGCCCGCTCGACTTGTGCCGCGCGTGTGCCGCACCGCGCCGCACGGCGCCGCGTGGAGCGCCAGAGCCGAGCGGGTGCCGCAACGTGCCCGTGCAGAAATCCGAGCACGGCAGGCACATACGACAGGCCACAAGAGATCGTGGGGCACGTCCCTCACCGACTCCGAGCTTCGTGCGGCGCCCCGGGGTCTGCGGGCCCATCGTGAGATGAGGTATCATCGCGGGGCAATGTTTTACTCGGTGTGTCTAATGTACCCTGCTTTTGGCCACATCACCGCCCGTGCATACCCCTCCCCCCCCCCCCCGCCCAAGCATGGTAGCGGATGCGCGCGGCAGCTCAGTTGGAGAAGTGGCGTCATCTTGATGCGTCGTGGCACGCAGCGCGTCGAGGGCCGAGGCTCCCCCCTCCCCCTCCATGGCGAGGAGTGCAGCCTGTTTCACGCGCGGCTCTCGGAGTCGGCGGCAAAGGCTCTCCAGAAGGTCAGAGCCCTCCTCCGAAGCACATCGCCGACGGCTACCATGAATTGAATCGGGGGAGGTGCAGGAAGGCCAGGTGAGCTAAGCCACCTGGCTTCCGGTGCCTCCGCTCTGCATTGGCCTCGCTCAGATCTCGATGGCACCCTGCTCCTGGGGGGGGGCGCGGCGTCATCATCACCAGCAACACCATCATCCTCACGCATGCTCATCATCGCAGCCAACTTCGTCATGATCGCCATCGCTATCGCCGCCACCATCAGAGCTGGATGCAGCGAGGATGGGCCTTGCGTCGATGCGGGCTCTGGAGGCTCGTTCAGCCATGGGGTCTCGCAGACATCCTCCCCGTGCATGTCATTGCAACAGCCAGCAGCACATAACTCGTTGTTAGCCGAGTTTCAGGCCATCGATCGATGACTAACTCGAACTGCCAAGTCTTCCGACTCCTCCTCCGCCTCCTCCTCCTCGCCTCCTCCTCCTCCTCCTCCTCCCTTCCCTCTCCCCCTCCCCCCCCTCCCCCTCCCCCCTCCCCCCTCCCCCCTCCTCCCTCCTCCCTCTCCTCCTCTCCTCCTCCTCCTCCTCCTCCTCCTCCTCCCTCCTCCTCCTCCTCCTCCTCCTCCTCCTCCTCCTCCTCCTCCTCCTCCTCTCCTCCTCCTCCTCCTCCTCCTCCCTCCTCCTCCTCCTCCTCCTCCTCCTCCTCCCCCTCCTCCTCCTCCCCCCCCCCCCCCTCCTCCTCCTCCTCCTCCTCCTCCTCCTCCTCCTCCTCCTCCTCCTCCTCCTCCTCCTCCTCCTCCTCCTCCCTCCTCCTCCTCCTCCTCCTCCTCCTCCTCTCCTCTCCTCCTCCTCCTCCTCCTCCTCCTCCTCCTCCCTCCTCCTCCTCCTCCTCCTCCCCCTCCCCCTCTCCCTCCCCCTCCTCCTCATATCCTCCTCGGGCGCCACGGGGGGGCAGGAGGGCCCGTCCTCTCGCACGGGGGGCATGATCGGCCAGCGCACCGCGGCCACCGGGGGCGGCCTGGGTCGCGGAGAGGGCTCTCCGGCGGCGCGCTCCGGCCGCCAACCCGGTGTCGGACGAACGGGGGGTGGGTGGCAAGGGGAATGGACGTTGGCATTTAAGCCAACGGGTCCTGGACCATGGGGCCTTACCCCAGTCCCCCGGGTCCAGCTTTTCGCCCCGACTACTTTTCTGGCAATCCTGGAGCCCGAGGAGGGCCGCAGGAGCCCGAAACTGGCGACAAAAACGTAGGACCCGTTTGCCACAGGACTCGCTTGCTTCATGGCGAGGGATGGCAGAAAGGGTGGGGGGCTGTCTAACCTTGAAGAAGGAGGGAGGAGGGAGGAGGGAGGAGGGAGGAGGGAGGAGGGAGGGAGGAGGGAGGAGGGAGGAGGGAGGAGGGAGACAATGGCCGCTTTTTGGTCTTCGGGGAGACACCGTCCAGGCCACCTCGTCTCCGCGGTCAAACCCATTGCGAGACAATGGTGCATGTGGACATCGCCAGGGAGGGGCCCGGGGACTTCCTAGCGCCTCCCAGTGCCAGAGGCACCCATGTATAGAGGAAAGCACCCAGCTGCTGGGCCGAAACAGACTTCGTTTTCCCCACTTCCCATTTCGTCCGATCCCAGCTTCCCGACCCCAGGTCGCTTGACTTTGCGCATCGCGCTGCACGAAGCCTCGCATGTTTGCCAAGAGGGGGGGAGGACGCGACGGCGAATGCGCGGCTCGGGGACGCAAGCGCGCGACCCACGAAGTGTCTTCACAGAACGTGCAGCCAAAAAAAGTGCGCGAGACGGGCGCAGCCAGAAGCAGCTGTGCATACGTATACGTAGCACCCCGCAGTTGCTGATGAGAGCGAGGGGGCGGCGAGGACGTCGTCAGTCGGCGAGGCTCTGAAGAAGCCCGCTGCAGGCGCCTACGTTTCACAAATTATGCATTGAGCCCGCCGCAGGCGCCGATTTTTTCGTTTACAAAAATGCGGGTGGATCGCAGGGTGGGTCGCGGGTGGGTCGCGGCGGGCCCGGTCGCGGGTGGGTCACAAATAAGTCGCGGGTGGGTTGCGGGGTGGGTCGCGGGTGGGTCGCGGGGTGGGTCGCAGAGTGGGTCGCGGGTGGGTCGCGGGGTGGGTCGCGGGGGGGTCGCGGGGTGGGTCGCGGGCTGGATCGCGGGGTGGGTCGCGGGTGGGTTGCGGGGTGGGTCGCGGGTGGGTCGCGGTTGGGTCGCGGAGTGGGTCGCGGGTGGGTTGCGGGCGGGTCGCGGGTGGGTCGCGGGTGGGTCGCGGTTGGGTCGCGGGGTGGGTCGCGGGGTGGGTCGCGGGGTGGGTCGCGAGGTGGGTCGCGAGGTGGGTCGCGGCGTGAGTCGCAGGGGGGACGACGATCACAACAACAACAATAATAATAACAACAACAACAACAACAACAACAACAACAACAACCATTCTAAGACTGTTCGCCCTTATATGCTCGAGTGTCCAATAACGCGTATTTCCCAAACCCTCGATACCCGCCCTCTTCGTCTTCGATCGAACCCCTTTTGGGGGGTATACCTTTCTTCCCTGCAGGCCGGGCCCCGGCAAGCGGCGGGGCGGCCGCGGACCGTCGGCCTGGCCAGCGGCAGCGCTGATCGGCGGGGCGGCCGCGGACCGTCGACCCGACCCCAAGAGGGACGGACAGGGGACCGACCACGACGACGACGACGACGACGACGACGACGACGACGACGTCGACGAGACGACGAGCGAAAGCGAGAGCGAGAGAGAACGACAGCAGGGCCACGAAGGGCACGAAGTAGGCCACGAAGGGCGACAGCGGGGACACGAAGGGAATGCGTATGGGGCCACGAAGAGTGCGAACGAGCGGGGGCCACGAAGTGCAGATAATGCGGGGCCACAGAAGGCAACTATGGGGCCACTGAGGGTAGCAACTGGGCCACGTAGGACAATGAGGGGGACACAAATGGCGACAGCGGGGCCACGAAGGGCATGCACATGGGGCCACAACGGGCGCGACTCCTGGGTGCCTGGGTGTCGGGAGCGCGGCGCTTGGGCAAATTGCAGGAAATTCCAACGCAAGGCTATTCTTCAGTAAGTTGCAAGCAAGTCTCCAGCGAGAGCGCGACTCCAGAGCTCCGGGAGAGCGATTCCTGAATAAATTGTAAGGAAGTCCAAAGCGAGAGCGCGATTCCTGAATTAAATGCGAGGAAGTCTCGGGCGGGAGCGGGGGTCCTGCCTAAATTGTAAGGAAGTCTCAGGCGGGAGCCGTTGTTGTAACCCGGGGGCCAGGGGGCCAGTTTGAGCAGGAAGACTTTCCATATCAAAAAACGGGGTGCGAGCGTCGAGGGGCACTCTTCGATTGAGACAAAACATATGCACCGGTGGGGGGGGATCAAAAATAATCATTCTTCAGAAATGAGAATTCAACAACAACAACAACAACAACAACAACAACAACAACAACAACAACAACAACAACAACAACAGCAGCAGCAGCAACAACAACAACAACAACAACAATGACAATAGCAACAATCAGTTTACCCTCATGCGCGATGTTTCCACACGAAGCATGCGACCATCATGATAACCATCCCCATCATGGGGGACTCTTGTTCTATAGCGGGGTCCGTTATTCCCATTCCCAGATATCCCGCCCAATGAGGTCTTGCAAACACCTCCTCCGAGGACAGTCAACATATCACGCCTCGAAAACGCATGCCCGCGCCTTGCTGCGCCGATGCGAGACCGCCAGTGGATCCCCAGCCAAGGGTAAAGCACAAGGAAGTATCGAGCGACAGGATTGCCTTGGTGGGGATGGGGGCTGTCGGCGGCGAGTCAAGGACCTGGCCCTGAATAGAAAGGGAGGAAGTCTCGAGTAGGGGCGCTGTTGTTGCTGGAAGCGGCGCCCATGCTGAAGAGAGTAGGGCGCTAGTCCAGCGCAAAACAAAACGAAGTCTCCAGCGGGAACGCTGGTTTTGTTGTGACGGCGGTTTTCGGCGGCGAGGAGGAACACCGCCTCGAGTAAGAAGAGAGGAAGTCTCGAGCGGGAACCGTGGTTTTGTCGGGACGGGGGCCGTCGGCGGCGAGGAACAGCACCGTCTTTAGGAAAACGGGAGGAAGCCTCCAGCGGGAGCGTTGTTCTTGCTGGGAGCTGCGCCAATTCAAAAGAGAGTAGGGCGCCAGTCCAGCGTAAAACGGGAGGAGGTCTCGGGCGGGAACGCTGGTTTTGTCGGGACGGCGGTTTTCGGCGGCGAGGAGGATCACCGCCTTGAGTAAAAAAAAAAAAAGGGAGTCTCGAGCGGGAGCTTTGTTGTTGCTGGGGGCCGCGGCGTCATTCATTGTCCCTGGGTGCGTGGCTCTATTGCGGATCCGTGGTGAGGATTCTGTTTGTTGCGTTGAATGTTAATTACTACACAAGTATTAATGTTGGACCCGCCCCAGGCGCTCTGGCGCTCTCGCCTCGGCGCCGGCCACATTGTCATTGAAAATGAAGATCACGCTCGATCGCGAGACAGACCTACGATACAAGCCAAACTTAAACAAACATGGTTGCTGACGACAGTAACGGCGACAATGTTGATGTCCCTCGTGCCCTCAGGAAAATGACAACAACACATCTGCAAACGCGAACGCCTGACGGCAGCATCTCGTACGGCAGCTTGTCGTATGCAGTCGTCGCCCATTGCGCGTGAACCCGATGTCCACCTGGTTATCTTTCTATGTGCGCCCGCACAAAGCGTAGTTTTGAATCTCGGGTCACAGCCAGCAAAAAAGGCAAGGGTGCACATAACCCCTTCCCCCTCTTCACAAATTGCTATTCTCATGCAGATGCTGACCCATACTCCCTCCCATTCTCTCACTCAACCTCTTTGATACACGCTGGCTCATACTTCCTCATCGTCCCTAAATCTCCAACGTCGTGCTTTCCCCGCATGTTTCGTGGGGCTCTGGTTTTCTCCCCACCCGCGTCGCACCCGTGTGTTCCTCACACCTCCCTCCTCCCTCCTCCCTCTCCTCCTCTTCCGTATTCCTCCCACCCACGCGCGACGCATGTGAACGCATGCATGCACGCATGCGTCTACATGCCGCCGCATGCATGCACACACTCGCAGATGCACACACACACACACACAGAGAGACACCCACACACACACACACACACACGCGAACAACGCTAGTGCACTCCCGACGTGTTTATTGCATCATAGAGCCACGACGTAAGCATCACATAGTGAGCTGGAGCACCCACATGACACGCACGTCCATATACAGCCGCGCACGCATCATACTTGACACGCACAGCACACAACACATACGCGCAAGATTTGGGGGTCGCTATGCGTGCCAGGGTCCCAGGGCGTGGCAGGCGTGGCACATCCTCCACACCGCAGGGGGTGCGCACGGGGTGGGGTCGCTATGCGCGCCAAGGTCCCAGGGCGTGGCAGGTGTGGCACACTCCCCACACCGCTGGAAGTGCGCAGGGGGTGGGGTCGTTATGCGTGCCACGGTTTCAGGGCGTGGCAGGGGCAGCACATCCTCCACACAGCAGAGGGTGCGCATGGGGTTGGGTCGCTACGCGCGCTTGGGTCCATGGGCGTGGCAGGCGTGGTACATTCTCCACACCGCAAGGGGTGCGCAGGGGGTGGGGTCGCTATGCGTGCAAGGGTTCCGGGGCGTGGCAGGCGTGGCACTTCTTCACACCGAGAGGGTGCGCACGGGGTGGGGTTGCTATGCGCGCCAGGGACCCAAAGCGTGGCAGGCGTGGTACATTCTCCATCTCCACACCGCAAGGGGTGCGCAGGGGGTGGGGTCGCTATGCGTACCAGGGTCCCAGCGCGTGGCAGGCGTGGTACATTCTCGACACCGCAGGGGGTGCGCAGGGGGCGGGGTCGCTATGCGCGCCAGGGTCCCAGGGCGTGGCAGACGTGGCACATTCTCCACACCGCAGGGGGCGCCCAGGGGGTGCGCAGGGGGTGATGGGAGTTTGTGCCCTCTGTGCTGGGCTGGGTCTAGTCCGAGCTCTCTACTCCATCACGGGTTGCTGTGGCAATGACGTTTGTTGTCAGATCACGGGCGAGGGCTTGTGCTCCAACCAGAACTGTAGACACCTTGGCTCCATCCGGCCCTAAGACAGCAGTCGTTGCCACGTTGTGTGCGCCTACCATGCTGCCAAAGTGCGTCATTGACGCGCTGCCTTTGTAACTGAAGAAATCCATGATTGACATGGGCGTCGAAGTTTCCACCGACAACTTGCGCAAGTGCGATGCACTTCTGGTGAAACACGCCTTTAATGTTTACCATCGGCATCTCAAGTACTGGTGGCTTGATACGCTCCTGACCAGGTACAATGAGCTGCTACATCAGGGATGGGGCGACGATGCCAGGAAGCAGTGCCTGGAGATGTACGTACAGAACCCTTCGTCCGGCGGGATTCCCCCAGACGTTCCAGCTCATTGGACAGGGGTTTCGGGGAAAGCAACGGAGTCTCCTGCATCATTCCCGCAAGTTTCACGTCAGATATCATCACGCCAGACATAGTGTTAAGTGTCGGGGGTTCCTCGGTAGCGTAATTTCATCGCGTCGTTCCCCAGAGGTCGAGATCCTTTCCCCAGACCAGTTTCTCATCTCGAATCTTTGTTTGACGGTACCGGGGCCCACTGACGGCTACTGGAGGCCGACAGATGCCCTCCTCATGGCCGTCGTGTGTTTCTCGCAGCGGGACAAAACGGGGGCCGTCCTTTTCTCCCTGACCCGCTTTAATGCACGCTGGCCCATGCCCCATGCCTTCCCGTCTTCGGTGGCAGCTCACGGGAGCCTCCCATACCATCTTGACGGCTCTTGCGAATCGACGCCAGTCGACGCTAACCAACGCCAACTCGACGCTAATCGACGCTAGCCGACGCTAGACCGGCACTATCTCGTCGACCCCCAGGCACTACTCGACGCTGGTCGGCGCTAAAGACGGAGTTAAAAGGATATACCAGGCTCCCATGAGTTGCCACCGAGCTCGTCGTTCTAGTCGGGCTCAACTGCCTTACCCTGTACCTGCGCCCCCTGTACGTACGCTGGCCACTCTCGGAGCAGGGTCCCCTCGCGCTGCAAGCACATCCACTCCCGCTGGTGGGCCGTGGACTCCCGCTGCAGCAGGCCGAGCAAGGGCGTCGCCGCGATGTACCTTGGAGCAGGGCTCGAGTTAATCAGTGTTTTCCGTTTTCGTGTTGGTTTCGTCATCCCTAGTTCTGTCTTCGTTCCACATTTGCTGCAAAACGAAATCAAAACGAAAACGGTCCACGAAATTGCCAAAACACCGTTTAGCTCGAGCCATGCCTTGGAGACCAAGCAGGGAGCGACATACGCCAGGAAGATACATACGCAGACACCCCGCGAGGAATATTGCATGTACCTTCAGGGAGGCGACGGTGTATAAAAGTCGCTGGCTCCCAGTGGCGTGATACACCGCCACCCTCCCCATGAGGCCCAGGAACAATACAGTGGAGGGTGTCTGCGTACATTTTTATGGCGGGCGGACGACAGCACGGGAGTGAGTCGGATTGGGTGGACTAGGAACAACTCAGAACGGAGGATGCCAGATTTGGGCATTCGACCACGAATCTATCAGCGCCGATGCTGAGTCGCATCCTATTCAGGGGTCCCGCAAATGGCCGTCAGAAGCATAGAACCGATCGTCCCTGCCGCATCGGAATCGATAATACCAAGGGCGTGGTGCGCCTGATTAAAAGCTGTTAGCAAGGGTACGGAAACCAACTCTGCTCCAAAACCCACCAAGGAAAAATCCGAATGTGAGCCAACAGGTGAATCAAACCGATTAGCCTCAGCATACCTTGAGAACCTTAGCTTAGATTGGCCTGGCGCAGCAGTTGTTTTACATCAGCGCAGCGCGGAGGGAGGATGAGATCACCCCGCAGGGCGTTGGGAGAGATTGGCCGAATGCGCCCTACAAACATGCGGCAGCAATTGGGCCTGCAGACTGTTCATGCAGCGTCGACTCCAAAAAGGCGGAGGAAGAGGACGAGCCGAGAGGAGGACGAGACGGTGGACGAGGAGGAGGAGGAGGAGGCAGAGCGTGCAGCTATGTCAACTCAAACATGCGGCGCGCACCGTGGGCTCAGACCTGCTGGCCGTAGCTCAGGAAGCCGGCCCTGCGCGGCCCGAAATGCTGGGCCGCGAAGAGGCGCCGGGGTGCACCGCGGCCCTTGCCCTCGCCAGCGCGCACGTGCGGGGCCACGAGGCGCGCTGCAGGAAGAGGAGGGGGCCATGGCATCGGGGAGACGGGATGGCCCTGGCCACGGTGCCCACACGCTCCTCTGCCGCCCGGCAGAGTGCCCAGTGGCCAAGGAAGAAGGAGGGGCAAGGAGGAGGGGGACGGAGGGGAGAGGGCGAGGCGGCCACGCCCGCGCCCGCACGGCCCCGCCCCAGCTCGGTCCAGCGGGCCAGGGCGGGCCGCCCGCGCGCACGGCCGGCAGCGGCAGCAGCGCGCAAGGCCGAGGCGGCAGCGCGGGCGCCCACGCGCCGAACGGGCGGAGGGGCCAGCCGCGGCCACGGCGGCGCCCAGCAGCCGCAGCGCATGCAGGCGACCCAGGCTGGGCCCCGGGATCTCGCGGGCGCCCGCCAGGCGCGGCCCGCGTCGAGGAGGGGCCCGCGCCGCGGCAGCGGCTCCAGGGTGCAGCGCCGCCGCGGGAGCGGGTGGACCGAGCTGGACCAGGACTCGGCAAATTCCAGCACGGGCGGCGCGGGCGGCGGCGCAGCGGCGGCGGCCACCGTACCTGCGTCCCCCACGCGGCGTGCACGCCTCGTCGTCACCCCCGCACACTCCCCCTCGTCGTCACCCCCTTGGCCGCTCCCGACTGCGGCCGCCTTCCCCAGTATTGCCTCGCTTCTGCACTGAGCGCAACTCGCATCAACACACCCCGCCAAGCCTGTCCCGCGACGGGCCTTGCCCGTCGCCGCGCCTGCCAAGAAGCTGGCCGAGGTGTGCTGTAGGCTCGCTTCGATTCGGTTGGCGTATGTTGTACGTTTGTTCAGCGAGGCGTGCACCATCGTTGGCTAAGCTGGACCATGACCTATCCTGGCGCAGAGCATACATTTAACGTGAAACGCACATGTCGAATGAATGTGTCCTATGCGTACGTGCGTGTGTTTGCTGGTGGTGCTTGACTGGGCCCCGCACAGGTTTGGCTTGGACTGGGTTGGCTAAGCGGCTTTATAGGCTCGGCTCAGCAAGCCTAGCCTAACCAGCTCAGGCTAAAGCGATCGAGCTGCACGTTTCACTCATAACTGGTCGCAGGCTCTCGTTGCAACCTTTGTCGGCCTCAGCAATTTTCCCCAAGCAATACTTACACTGAGGAGGCGGTGCACATCATGTATGGACCTGATCCGCACAGACTAGAAAACGACATGTTGCTGCCCAATCACCGCCGCGTCGCTTCCCTCGGCTTTCTGACATTCTCTGCAACCGTGTCGCTATTACTACTGATGCTGCCGCTATTACTACGACCACATCTACCACCACTACCCGGCACTGCTGGTACAAATGCTACTCTTACAAGCTCCCGTGCGTTGCGTAACACTCGCTTCGATGGGAAACCGCTTAACCATACTTCCCTTGGTCGATCTTAATGTTCCGTGGACCTTTAGTTCTGGCCCACGATGGCACATGCCCTTCTGGCCCGCATCCCGCCATAGCACGTCGACATGGTGTCAACATTGTGTAGGACCTCTGTTCTCTCAAATACAAGCTGGTGAATGAAGGGCAGTTTTCATGTAGAACTGCCCACTGACATGCTGAAACCAAGCGCACTCATACGTCCCCAATTGGGGTCTACGCTGGTCGGTGGCGTTGAGGCAAGAGCCATTGCTTGCATGATGAGGAAATCCAGAAATTCACCCCGTAAAACCGCCCCAAACATACACGCGCGGGGCGAATAAACAGGTACAAATGTACGGCACCAACTGCGCAACCAGTGAACAACAACATACGGAAAGGTAGCGCTGTCCACGGTGCGGCCAGAAAGAGTCAAAGCCAGCAGCGGCCACACGGGCGGCGATGCAAACAATAATTGGCCACCTCCGCGAGCTCCACGGGAAAACGCGAGGGCCTTCGGCTCCGTCGGCGTCCCTCCCTGTATTGGCGGGATGCAAATGGGGGGATAGGTCCAGATGGGGAGAGAGGCGCAACCGAGGTACAAATTGTACCTACGCCCCACGGAGAAGGCACAGTTTGCACCGACGCCACGCAGACAAGGTACAAATTATACTTTTGACAACGTCCGCGACATGTGCGAGGATGTTAACGGGGGGGGAGAAGGTACAATTTGTACTTGCAACCCGCAGAGAAAATACAAATTGTACCCCAACAAAGCGGTACCGGATACTCATCCCCCCATGTCCTGATCCCCCCATCGCCATCCGGCCGACTGTAAGCCTGCCCCCCCCCCTTCCCCGCCGTCCCGCAGGGGGCGCCCGCTGTCTATGATGGTGGACTCGGTGGCGAGCCGAGGCCTCCCGGCCTCCGCGAAGCTGCTGCAGCTGAGGGCAGTTCTTGCTGCCCGCGTCCCGCCGATCGACCGCTCGGTGTCCCTCTCGGCTTGATCGATCGAGCCTCACTTCCTTGGCGGCGCGCACAGGAGGGTATTGGGGGGAGGGGGGGAAGGCTTCTGAGAGGCAGGGGTGCTTCTGAGAAGCCTTCCCCCCTCCCCCCGACCCCCCTCTCCGCGTGGCCGACCTCGGCTCGATCGAGCGAGCCCGAGTTCGAGATCGAGATCGATCGAGATCGATCGATCTAGATCGAGATCGAGGTCGATCGAGGTCGAGATCGATCGATCTAGATCGAGATCGATCGAGTCCGATCGATCTAGCTCGAGATCGAGATCGAGATCGTTCGAGAGCGAGCTCGAGCGGTCGGCTCGAGATCGACCGACCGCTCCCTGCGACCCACCAGCCCTCGGCCGCTCCGCTCCTTCCTTCCGCCCCGCCCGCCACCACGTCCCCCCCCGCCGCTCCGGCTGGGGCGCCGCCCCCGCCCTCGGCGGCACGCGCGCCGATCGCCTCCAAGACGAACCCAGAGGGAGGATCAAATGGGATGAGGATAAAGCGAGATGAAGGTAACATCGAAGGAGGATAAAAATCGTCTCTAAGACGTCTCTAGGATGAGGATCTCATTGAGGGATGAAAAAAACGACCCTACCCTGGCTTACAGGTGCGTGGTCTGTAAACCTCCTGGGAACCCCCAAAGTTCAGAGCCGCCAGGACGCGGCACGTCACGCAGGGTTTACCCTGTCGGCCCACAGGAGTTTCAGCGCACAGCGCCTCGTAAACCAGGGTAGGGGCGTTTTTTATGCCCTTGATCTAAGACGAACCCAGGAGGAGGGTAAAAATCGGATGAGGATAAATCGAGAATCTCTGAGATCCAGCGGCTATAGAGTACGCATCGGGCGCCGCGGCCTTCTCCGAGCATTCCGGGCCGCTCTGAGAGCAGGCCGGAACGCTCTGAAACGGATTTGTCATCGTCCCAGGCCCGCCCGATTCTCCCACTCGCGCCCAGGCTCTCTCCTGCTCCCGAAGCCCTCCCGCCCGCTCTCATGATGCGTAAGGCCTCTGCGACGTGCCGACGAGGGACATCCCGATCGCCCCCCGAAGGACGCCTGCAGGCCTCCCTGCCTGGATGAACGCGCAGCAGCGCGCGAGCCGCGAGACCGTTGGAAAAGCACGACTTCTGCTCTCCGCCCTCCTGACCAAGCTATAGACCACAAAATTAACATCGCCGAAAGGAGAGCACCAACAATTGGCATCTACTGGGGCGCCACTGTCACACCTCTGTGGCCCTGGAGAATCTCTCGGGCGCCGCGGCCTTCTCAGAGCGTTCCGGAACGCCCTGGAAGGGATTGGTCCTCGTCATACAGCCCCGCCCGAAGACGCCCAGCAGGAAGAGCATCCCGAGTCGTTCTCTTCTGACGGCGCTGGGGCGCCAGTGGCCAGAGGCGGCGAGGAGCCCTCGGGCGCGATCCGTCCGGGCCGCCCAAGGGGAGGCCCCCTCGGTGGGGCGCCGGCGCGCGCCCGACACTCCGGGCGGGGCGAGGAAAAAGGCTCCTGGGGCAGTCGCTGAAGACCGAGTCCTCGTCCTCCTGGGGGGGGGGGGAGCCTTCTCCTCCTTGTCCGCCTTCGGCTCCTCGTCCTCGTCCTCGTCCTGCTCCTCCCAAGCCTGATCCGTTTCCTCTCCCTCCTTCCCCTCCTCCTCCTGATCCTCCTCCTCCTCCCTCCTCCTCCTCCTCCTCCTCCCCCTCCTCCTCCTCCTCCGTCTCCTCCTCTCCTCCTCCTCCTCCTCTCCTCCTCCTCCTCCTCCTCCTCCTCTCCTCCTCCTCCTCCTCCTCCTCCTCCTCCTCCTCCTCCTCCCTCGCTCCCTCCCTCCCTCCCTCCCTCCTCCTTCCTTCCTCCTCCCTCCTTCCTCCCCCTCCCTCCCTCCTTCCTCCTCCTCCCTCCTTCCTCCTCCCCCTCCAACTCCTGGCGGGATGTGGCCGCGAACCGGGAGCGAACAGAGAGGTCGAGGGCGGAAGGGCCACCCTCATCCCGAGAACCCTCCCACGGCCGAGGCCCTCGAGCACTGCTCCGAGGGCCTCGGCCGACGGGCGCGTGATCAAATCACGCGCCCGACGCAGGAATCGAACGGGACAGGGCTACTTCTTGAGCAGGGACCGACCGTCCCGGCATTCCTATAGTCATACCACGAAATGTTCTTAGAACCCACAACTGTTCTAAAAGAACAAAAACAATGTTCTTGGAAAATAAACCCGATGTGTTAAAAGAAGACAGTCCCAGCCAGAAATGTCCTGAGAACATTTCGTGGCAAACACAAAAGGTGCTTAGAACATTGTTTGGCAGGGCTATAGGCGAGCCAGGACGCTTCGCCACTGCTTGAACTTCGTAAACGCACTGGGCGGTCCCAGACATCAGACGTCGTGGGTGTGCTTCACAGCGCGGCTGCCCAGTGGTCTGGACCCCTTCCCAGGGACCGGCTGCCCATCCCGGGTCGGTTTTCGCGGACGGCCCGGGGACCCCGTGAGGGCCCACGAAGACCGAAGACTGAGAAGAACGTCCCGTCGACGAGAGGAGGCGGAGATCTGTGGGGATCGGGGTGGTTCTCTTTGAGTCTGTCGCGGGCGACAGGGAAGTGGGCCTGGACGTCTTGACAAACGAAGTGTTGGAGCTGACTTGACGACTGCTTTCGCCTTAGCGAACGCAGTCTTGGGGCCGACTTGACGTCTGAAGTGCTTGGGCCGAATTGACGACCGCTGTGGGCGATTCCTCAGACGTGCGCCGTCTCAGCCGCTGCGCTGGACTCAAGCTCTCTTATCTCGTTCTCCTGAGAAGGTTAGGAGGCAACTACTGGGAGGTTGTCGTCGGAAAGATTAAAGAGGATTAAGCCCCATTTGGGAGCTGTTACGCCAGAGTGGGCATCGGACTAAGCAGGATTAAGCCGGATTAGGCGGTACTAAGCGGGATCAAGCCGGATTAAGCGGGATCTAGCCGGATTAAGCCGGACCAATGCAAAATCAGAACTTGGCCTCCCAGGAGTTGCATCCGAAAGAAGGTGTACCCCACGCGTGCCGCTGGGAGGGGGCAGGGGCCACGCGGCTCAGGGCCTGGCGAGGCGCGGCAGGGCGGCCAGGTCCCGGCAGGGCGGCGCAGGGGAGGGAGCAGAGCAGGGACGACGACGACGACGACGACGACGACGACGACGACGACGACGACGACGACGACGACGGTGGCGGCGACGACTTGAACGTCGTGCGCAACGCGCACACGGCGCGAGCCTCGCGGGGCGGGAGGCGGGGGGAGAGAGGAGGGGGAGGTGCCACGTGCCACCAGCATGATGCCTCCACCTTCGAGCACTGCGTGTCACCGCTGCCATGCGACGCCGCAGCGTGAGGCAGAGGATCGGATGGTGGGCGACTGAGCTCTCGAAACCGCGTGCCGCAATCAAGTGAAAGCCATGGTAGTAGACCAGCGGGACGACAACACGAGGGGGAGGGCGAAGGAAAGAAGGTGAAGGAGCTCCTTTCCTGGAGGATAAGGACAGGACGACAGTTACGGTCGAGAGCTTGTACTTAGCGTGTCACGGCGGCGGCCCCGGCGACACGCTACGCCTTGCAGCGGATAACGTGTCGCTCCGCTCTACGGGGCGGGAGGCTGGGAACAGCTCGGGACGTTGACGCTTGGGAATGAGGACGTGAATAGCATGTCGTGCCGAAGCGTGGTGGGCCAGAAGCGGCGTCGCGACACGCCAAGCCAAAGTCCCTGACCATATGCCATGATACATTTGGCTAAGGATGCGCTCCAGGAATTCTAGAGTACCTGGCGGCCCTCGTGTCTGGAGCCCGTGTGGAACAGCAGGGGATCTGGGAAATGCTGGGAACCTTGGACGCCTTGGAGCGTATCATTGTCCTGAATTCTGGCTCCTCCGAACAGAGGGTGAGGCGGAGGAAGAGGAGAGGGGCGAAGACGCAGGCGAGGAGGAGAAGTAAGAAAACGCCGACAATTCCTCAACGCTGTCGAGCATCGAATAATCGGGGAGATCCTCGTCAAGTCATCGGGTCAGCGCTGGACCCCCCTCTCAACAACCCCCTGCCCCAGACCCCCGACGTCATGTTTTCTCCACAACGTCGACCCCCAGAGGTTTGGACCCCTTCCCCGGGAATGGCTTTGATTGGCGGCGCGCCGAGGGGGGTAGGGGGAGGGGGGAGGGCTTCTTAGAAGCACCCCTGCTTCTTAGAAGGCGCGGGCCTTGTCTGTAAGCGTCAGGCTCGCTGCTTCTAAGAAGCAGCCTTCTTCTAAGAAGCCCTCCCCCTCCCCCTACCCCCTTGTGCGCACCGCCAGTTTTCATCCTGAATCGTTCTTGACGGTCCTGGGGCCCGGTGAAGGGCCCCCAGAGGGCTGGAGGCCGACCTGGGGCGCCGCCCTCTTGCGCGCTCCAGACGCCGCCAGGGGAGGGGGCTCGGCGAGGGCAGCCCCGGCAGCGGCCCCAGAGATCCGCCCGGACCTCCGAAATATATTGTGTGTAGGTTGTTGAAGGGGCCCTGGGACACACAAATCAATGCACACAAATAAAAGGATTCCCCATATGTTCCCATATTTTCTGGGTTCCTGTCTTCCCCCCCACCGCCCATATATTCACATATTTCTGGGGAATCGACGATTAATTGTGTCTGTGTGTGTGTTTCTCCTCCTGAGTTGTGTTGGGTGAGTCTCTTTGGAAGCTCATTCTAACATAGAAAGCCTCGGTCGAGTAGCCTCTAGTGGCCGTTAGCCGCCTTTAGAATATCACTGGTTGCCTTCAGCTGTCTTTTAGGATCCCTCTAGCGGCCTTTACCTCTGGCGACCTGTAGCGGCCACTGGTGGCCTTTTAACTGCCCCCAATAGCCTGCACCAAAAATGCCAAAGCAATACGTGTGTGTGTGTGTTAGAAAGAGCTCCCCCAAAAGACGTCCTTACGTTATGTTTGTTTATATTGGCGTTGCTGCTATGTTGCCGTCTGGGCCACGCGGTTGCGTATGAGCAGGAAAAGGGAAATAAGCAGCAGAAGTGCCCCTGGTCCTTTGGAAGGGGACCCGAGTTAGGAGGACCAACACGAGTAGGGACAGGGGGGCGTTTTCTGCTGATCTGTATGACGAAACCACCCATGCGTTTAGGGAGAGCCCCAAAGACTGTGGACCTAAGTTAGGCCACGAGTCCACTGTGTTGTTATGCGCTTAGGGGTCGCATATGCCTACTGAGGAGGAGGGGCAGCGGTGGCCGACGGACGAGACGTGCCCTGACGATGCAGCCCTCGCTGCCTCGCCCCCCTGTCGCTCGCCCCCCCCGCGCCCCAGACGGCGCGGCGAGGGCCAGCGTGAGGCACCCCTCCTGCGCCCTCTCCCTGCGCCTCCCGCCTCATCGCAGGCCCGCGCGCGCCTGCAGCGCGACGCTGGCACGACAGCGCTTTGTGGCAACTCGCGGGGGCCTCCGCGTCATCCCGCTGGCTCGCGCGAACCCGCGCTCGCCGGCGCTCATCGCCGCGGATCGGCGCCCACTCGCCGCGGACTCGAAGCCGCTCGCCGCTGGGTCGGCGCTGTCCCATCGACTACCAGATGCTGGCGCACGTGACTTGCGAGTGCACTCTGAAGACGGAGTTTCGGGGACCCACAAGGTTCCTATGAAACAGAAACACAGCAGAGACAACAGAAAACAGCAGAAAAAACAGGAAGAACCAGAAAAATCGTGGGTTGCTACCGAAACCACAGAAAGAAACCTGAGCTCTGCAGCTGAACTGAAGGTCACCACCCCCCCCCCCCGGCGGAGGCACGGCCCGCCCGCGCGCGGCCGCCGGAGATGAAGGGGCCCTGGGACACACAAATAAATACACACAAATAGAAGGATCCCCCATATTTTCTCATGTTTCCTTGGTTTCTGTCTTCCCCCCCACTTCCCATATTTTCCCATATTTTCCTGGAAGTGGACGATTCATTGTGTCTGTGTGTTTTTTCCCCTCCTGAAGAGAAGCCGGTCCTGCTCGCCGGCGACGGACAGCCGGAAGACAAGCACGGCGACGTCGTCCCTCGCCGAGGCCCGGACGGTGATCACGTCCGCGTGCTGGCGGCACGGGCGATTGTATACGTGGCGGCGCGCACAAGGGGGTGGAGGGAGGGGGGGGGGCTTCTCAGAAGGAGGCTGCTTCTCAGAAGGCGCCGGCCTCACATCTATATAGATGAGGCCCGCGCCTTCCAAGAAGCAGGGGTGCTTCTGAGAAGCCCTCCCCCCTCCCCCCACCCCCATCTGCGCGTGGCTTAAATACGTTGAGGACAATGGCTTTGGAACATTGGATCAGAAGCCCAGGTCTTGGCCATGGATATCACCGCCGCCCTCATCAGATGAGGAATCATCCAGTGTCCGAAGCCTCCTGGGCACACTCCTGAACGAATGCCCCCACTGAAGCTCAGGGGACCCAGCCTCATGCTGCATCTTCGGGGTGGGCCCGTCTGTCCTACTGCGCCGCTGCCCGCGCCGAGTCCGCCCGGAGTCCGCGTCGCATCTGCGTCGGATGCTAGAGAAGACAGAGAAGACAGCAGTTCACGGGACAGACAGCGTCCTCGGAGACACAACGCGACCCAGCACCACGTGCTCTAAATATCTGGCGAGAGGCCTGGTCCAGATGACGAGCCAGCCGGCCGGCCGACCCAGACAAGAAGGCTTGGGGGAGGGGGGCGGTCCTAACAATTGGTCTCCGCCTGCCTGCTCTCTCCTACGCTCCCCAAGCCAGGGCTCGACTTAAACAGTGTTTTCCGTTTTCGTTTTGTTTTCGTCATCCCTAACTCTGTCTTCGTTCCACATCTGCTGCAAAACGACGTCAAAACGAAAACGGTCCACGAAATTGCCAAAACACCGTTTAGGTCGAGCCCTGCCCCAAGCAACAGACAAGATGCCCTGGGAAAGGGTACGGGGGGGGTGCTGGTCCATGTCCACCCCGATTACACTTCGACGGTGGGCCGGTGGCTGCTGCCGCTGCACGAACTGCTCATACCTCGAGAGACGTCCGCGCCCAAGGAGAAGACTCCGAAAAGCGCCCAGGGGGGCCCAGGTCTCGGAGACGGCAAGAGCCGCCCGATCGGTCGCCCCACGGGGCGCGACCAACGGACCCAGACATCCGACCTCGCGTTTTTTTCCGCAGGGTGGCTCCCCACAGGTCGGGGTTCACGATTTGAACGATTAGATGCGTTATTAATTCGCCGAGCAAGTCATGCTGTAACTGTAATGTAAGCGCTACCTTAAACAGTCATTATCGGCGGCCATGCTGTAATCAGAATGGACTTCGAATTGTATAGGGATCCGTGAGCCTGTGAGCCCTGTAGGGTAGGTGCCGCAGCCGCTGGTGCGACGGCTGGGATCGGAGGTGCGAGCTCAGCCCTGGCACGGGTTTCCGCATGTGCGCGGGCTGGCCCGGTGCCTCAGCCGTAGGTCCCGACGTCGTTGGCGCATAGCGTTACCCCTTACCGGCTAACAAGGGGCGCGAAGGGCCAGATCTGTCGTGAACTGGGAGGCAGCGCTGCCGTTGGTCAGCAGGAGCACCCAGTACCTGCTCTGATCCCCCGTGCGGCCAATGGTTCCTGGATGGGCGGAGGCACGGGTGGGGAGACAAGGCCTGTGGTGTCGGTCAGCGCGACCTAACACGCTGTTCGTCAGGTCGGCCTCGTCGCAGCGGTCCCGTTGGCCGTCCGAGTCGACAGATTGCGTCCTTCTCGTGAACGCCCTTAGGTCTGTATTCAGGCGGGCTTGCCCTGCTTGTGCGGATGCGATCCAGCTTAGGGAAAGAGAGAGAAAGAGAGAGAGCGAACAACCAAAGGGAAAGAGAGAGAGGAGGGAGGGAAAGAGAGAGAGAGAGGGAGTGAGGGAATGGAGAGAGAGGAGGGAGAGAGAGAGGGAGGGGGGGGGAGAGAGAGAGAGAGAGAGAGAGAGAAAGCGAGAGAGAGAGAGAGAGAGCAAGAGAAACAACAAACAATTACCCGAGACGTAGCCAGTCCATTGTCCACGTGAGACGACTATGTATAAGAACGCCTGGATCTGCGTGACAACTTACTCCGCTGCTCCTCCCAGGAGCCCGCGCAAGCGGCGACAAATGCGGACAAATGCGCAATGGGCAACCTCCCAAGGAACCGCGAGGTCTTGCGTCACTGCCGCCTCCGTTGGCCTCCCAGGAGCTCACCAAAATAGAGACAAACTCGCAACTGGCAACCTCCCAAGGAGCCGCGAGGTCTCGCGTGACTGCCGCCTCCGCTGGACCTCCCAGGAGCCCGCAGAAGTGGCGACAACTACGCAATTGGCAATCCCCCGAGCAGCCGCGGGGTCTCGGGCGTGACAACTGCCGCGGCTGAACCTCCCGGGAGCCCACCAAGATGACACAGCTGCGCTGTTTGACGGCCTGCCTCCCACGGAGCCGCGAGGTCTCGCGTGACTACCGCCTCCGCCGGGCCTCCCAAGAGCCCACACAGATAGCAAGAATTGCGCCATTGGCAGCCTCCCGGGGAGCCGCGAGGTCTTGCGTGACTACTGCCTCCGCTTGACCTCCCAGAAGCCCAGGAAAGTGGCGACGGTTGCGCAGTTCGCAGCCCCCCAGTAGGAAAGGTACGAGCAAGGGTGGCAAGGAGGCATGAGGCAGGAGGAGGGGGGAGGAGGAAGGGCAGGTACTTGGAGACCAAGGTGCTCTGTTCAAAACGCGAGCCCACAGGAGAACTGGGAAAGAACGCCTGGTGAAACACACAACCACGTTTAGCTGCTAGTAGCGCAGGGCGCGGACTTCTCGTCGTGGGCAGCGCGCGTCCTGGGGCCGTCGGAGGAGCTCCCGGAAGGGCCTCGAACCGTGCAATTGGCGGGCTGGACTGCGCGGGGAAGCCCCGATATGGAGCAACGAACGAAGCGTGAGGTGCGTGTGCCGACCCGGGCGCGGGGACACACGGGGACGCTTCACATGGGGCTTCCGGTGGAGCTCGTACAGGGCCACGAGACGTGCGGGGGGCGTGCGGGCGCGGAGGCATGCGGATGGCAGAACGCGCGGAGGGACATGCGGAGGGCGGAGGTGGGAGGAGAAGGATGAGGAAGAGGGGGGGGGAGGCGGGAGCAGGTGTGGACGCGGGGCCCTGCGAGACGAGGCCCCAACACCACAGGATTGTTGGGAAATTCAAAGAGCACAAGGGGGAGGGAGAGGTAGATGCAACCTGCGCTGTGCATGAACCATGGCCGGGAACACGCTGTGGAATAATGAACGCGGGTGCAAGTCTGGCCATGCCCCCGAACGGACTGCCAAGAAGGCCGGGGGGCCTTTCCCCGGCAATGCTGGCGCACCGATAGCCCTCATGGTGGCAAAGATAACGATGGCAGGGAGGATCTAAGGCGAGGTGGTAGCGGCGATCCGAATAATGGCGATGTGTTGGCAGGGACCAAAGCAGCAGAAAGGAAGGATCCTGCACTCGCACCGAGTCTGTGATGGTCTTTCCATTGACCAAGGTTCCCGTCGAGCTCAAGTTTCTCAACACCAGCTCGGCCTCCTGGCGCACAGCACGGGATAGCAAAGCAGGGGGCAATGGGCCCAAAGGTCGAGCACTGAGTGTGGGCAGGCACGCAGCAGAAAAACAACGGGGTGCAGTAAAGAAACGCAGACACACAAATCTGGCGAGCGCGCTGGATAGGATCGGATCATGTTGCCTGGTAGCTCGGCAACGGCCCTGGCGACACGCTATGCCAAGCAAGCGAATCTCGTGCCGCTCCGCTCCACGGAGCGGGAGGATAGAAGAGGCTCGGGACCGTGACTCCTGGGGACTGGCACGTGGTCAGCGTGTCGCGCCGGGGCGCGGTGGGCCAGAATCGGCGGCGCGACACGCGAAGCAAACGCTCCTGACCCTAAGTCGTAAGTCCACCGTGGTTCGTATGCCTTCGCGTGCCGTGGATCTTCCCACTCCCAGGAGCTCCTTCGCGTGCCGCTGCCGCTCGCTGCCGAGGTCGCCACCTTAGAAAAGCCTCCGACTCCGGCGGACGAATATGCATAGCCGCTGTGACTCTGCGGCGTCTGCAACCTCTTGGAACACATGTCACAACAGCTCGCTGGAATCAAGCAATTATCTCGAGACATGTTCCTCCTCCTCCTGCTCCTCCTTCTCCTCCTCCTCCTCCTCCTCCTCCTCCTCCTCCTCCTCCTCTTTCTCCTCTTCCTCCTCCTCCTCATGCTCCTCCTCCTATTCGTCATGTTATGTTTCTTCCTCCTGCTCGTCTTCCACTCGTGTTCCTCCTCCTTCTCCTCCTCCTTACCACCACCACCACCACCACCACCACCACCACAAACACCACCACCACAACCACCACCACCACCACCACCATCACCATCATTTGCACCCTCCTTCTCCGCACGCCTTCCCTCCTCCCTCCCCTCCTCACCCACATTATCTCTTCTCCTTCCTGCATCCTCCCCACCTCCTGTTCTTCTTCTTCTTCTTCTTCTTCTTCCTCATCCGCCTCCTACTCCTGTTCCTCCTCATCCGTCGTCACCCCCTTGACCCTCCTCGTCTTCATCCTCCTCATTCGTGAACCCATTCCAGAAAGAGTCTGGCAGGCGACTAAAACCATGCGTTGGTTTCTTCTTGAGGGGCGGTGCAGGTTCTCACAGGTCCAGTTGAAGATTGAAGTCGCTGAATGTACCCCAAAAGAGACGTCCAAACGGGCCCCAAGAGGCCACCCAGAGGCTGCCAGCCCAAGAACCCGCAGCACTCCCGACACGGCTCCTACACGATGGGGGTGTTCGTTTAGGAATGTGCCCAGGAGGCTTCAGACCGTGAAGAAATCATTATCTGATGAGGGCAACGGTGATATCCATGGCCTTATGGCCAAACCGCGATTGGAGATCCACCCGCTTCCAGACCCTGGATTCCTGATCCCGATGCCCTCACCATACTTAGGAAACGTCCGCCAGGCTTCTGCAGGAATTCGAATCGAGGATCGACTACAGAATTGATATACCCCAAACTTGATTTTCATTTCGGCATCACAAGTGCGTAGAATGTCAGTAGATCCGAGGTTGGGGGGATCGCAGTGAAACGGAGACCCCCCACCGGGAAATCGGTTTCGGTTTCGTGTTCGTGTCGTGCGTGCGGGCGAGGCGAAGCTGCGCGTGATCCTCCTGTAGCTAGGCCGAAGTAGGAGCGAAAGTCCGTTCCCGTCCGCTGGTGGCTGGGAGGTGTCCCAGTTGGGCCGGGCGGTGTCCCGGGTGTGCCGGGTGTCAGTAGGAGCGAAAGTCCGTTTCCCGTCCGCCGGTGGCCGGGAGGTGTCCGTCCCAGTTGGGCTGGGCGGTGTCCCGGGTGTCCCCGGTGTCCCGGGCGTCCGGGCGCTAACGCATGTCGCTAATTTCATAATTCATGCTTGTCGGCGCCTGCGGCGGGCTTTCTTTTCCAATCCAGCTTTTCTTATCCAATCCATCTTGTCCAATCGAATCCATCTTATCTCATCCAACCCATCTTGTCCCATCTTATCTTATCTCACCCAATCCAATCCACCCAACCAAATCCATCAATTCATTTGTTTCTGCGCCTGCGGCGGGCCAATCCAATCCATCATATCTTATCCAATCCATTTCTTCCAATCCAACCCGTCTTATCTTATCCAATCCATATTATCCCATCCAATCCAATCCACCCAGCCAAATCCATCAATTCATTTTTGTCGGCGCCAGCGGCGGGCTTTATTGTCCAATCCAGCTTATCTTGGCCAATCCATCTTGTCCAATCCAATCCATTGTATCTTATCAAATCCATCTTATCCCATCCAATCCAATCCACCCAACCCAATCCATCAATTCATTTTTGTCGGCGCCTGCGGCGGGATTGATTTTCCAATCCAGCTTATATATCCAATACATCTTGTCCAATCCAACACATCTGATCTGATCCAACCATATTGTCCCATCTTATCTTATCCCACCCAATCCAATCCATCCAACCCAACCCATCAATTAACTTGCTTCTGCGCCTGCGGCGGGCCAATCCAATCCATCTTATCTTATTCAATCCATCTCTTCCTATCCAACCCAGCTTATCCTATCCAATCCAATCCACCCAATCCAATCCACCCAACCCAATCCATCAATCCATCAATCCAGAGAGAGAGAGAGATAGGGCGAGAGAGAGAGAGAGAGACACAGAGAGAGAGAGAGAGACAGAGAGAAAGAGAGAGATGAGATCAAGGTGACAGGCTGGAGGTCAGTCCTGGACATTTGATCTCAATCCCCCAACCTCCTTATCGCCCGCAGGGCGGTCGTTTAGGTCTACGGAGTACGCGATGCATGTTTCATTGATGTTGCGAGAAGATAAGCTCTGGGATGGATCAATTCTACAATCGGTCCCCTACTCGAGGAACGTATCGCTGGCGCTGGGAACAGACGTGGGGGCCATCTTGGGGATCCCAAAACCGGGTGGTGACAGACCGTGCGGTGACCTCGGAACACCAAGAGACCTCACAGCACGGTCTGTCACCGCACGGTCTTGGGACCCCGGAGGCCCCTGTCGCCCGTGACATCCCCGGCGAGGGACTCGAGTCCCAAAACCGTGCGGTGGCCCCGAATCCCCACCGACTCTCCACACGGTGTGGTCACCACCCCGTTTGGGAGCCCCCGACCCTCGGTCGACCCCGCTGCGCCCTCAGGCCCGCAGCCAGGACCGCGGTGACGGGAGCGGCCGGCGGCCGCCCGGTGAAGCCGCCGCAGCAGGGGCGGACGCCGGTCTGACGAGTGCAGACCTGGGCCGGGGACGCACTGATAGGAGACGAAGCCAGGACGAGGGTAACACCGGGTGAGTAGGAAAGGGAAAGACGGCATGAACATAACCTTTGGGCGCTCCGCGCGGGATTCCTTGGATCCGCCCTGGGCCCCCCCTCCCTGGCGCGCGGAGCGCGCCAGGGGCGGCGCCAGAGGCGCCGCCGGGGGGGCCCAGCGCGGATCCAAGAAATCCGCGCGGAGCGCCAAGGGTTTATGTTTATGCCGTTTCGGCGGTGGACAAACCTCCCTCTAGTAGACCTCCCCTTAGTGAAAACGACCTGGGACCGAAACCGACGGACCTGGATCCGCAAAAATGACGGCCGCGACGCCCTCTCGCGAACCGAAAACGGCCAATTCCTTAATCGACGTGTCAGGGTAGGAGGACTGTCCATCCCCGAGTTTTCTCTTCGAGTGAGGATAGATCGAAAATCCCGGAGGTCCGGATGCTCGCGAGGACGCCCCGGGCGCCGGGGCCTCCTCCTCCCAGCACGTCCCGCGACGCTCTGCCACGGATGCGTGCCTCGTCCTGGCCCCGCCCGACACCGACCCGGGCCAGCGCAGGCCCGGGTCAGCCAGGGCACCCTGCCGTCCCAGGCCAGCCGCTCGGCAGCTCCACGGCCCCGGGGCCAGCGGAAGGCAGGCGGGGGGCATCGGCCCCACGTGGCTCCCGAGGGTCAGCGGGGAGTCGCTGACCTCCGTCAGCGCGGACCTGCGTGAGCCCCGACTGGAGGCCGCCAGCACATCTCCAGAGGTATCTTCAAGCTTGGAGTACCATGTGGGACCTGCTCTAGAACAGGAAAATACCGTAGACGGATCCGCCCTTTCTCCGACCCTGCATCGCGCCGAACGCAGCGGCCACGTTGTCCATCGACCTAAACACCTCGGGAGTGTCTATGGACGTCGCGGCACCCAATTCGTCCATGGACGCTTCTGGCTAGGACCTGAGAACGGTATGTGGCATCGGCCCCAGGTCGGGCGTTGGTAGAACTGGATTTAGTGGAACCTGGTTTAGTGATCTGTACCGGGGGCGCCCCCCCGTCCCATTTCCACTAACCGGAACTGCCGTAACCCGAAAAAACACCAGCTATGGCAAACCTGGTCTAGTGATTCCGGGCAATTCGAAGGCTCCGGGGCCCTGCCGCCAACCAGGTCCCCTTACCCGGGATCCTGGCCATACCCGACCAGGTGCTGGTCTTTCAGACGTTCTAGAGGCAGGTAGGCTTGGCCCTCCAACGCCAGGGGCCCGAGGAGCAGCGGGAGGCGGCCTCAGGCGGCGACGGCGGCGGCGGCGGCGGCGACGACGCCGGTGCCGCGCAGGCCCTTCCCAGGGCCAGGGCAGAAATCGGGGATGGACAGACTCCCCTTTAGTAAACCGTGGTTTGGTGAAAACGACCTGAGACCCAAACCTGGCGGGCGCAAGCCTGGAAAATAGCGGCCACGGCGCCCTCTCGAGAACTGAAAACGGACAATTCACTAATCGACGTGTCACTGTTGGGGGTTCTGTCCACCCCCGAAAAAAGGGGGGCGCCTCGTCCACCGCGATCTCGAAGTGCTCCGGCGAGACGGCGCGGCGGAGCGTCTCCTTCGGGCGTTCCCTTGTGAAAGGGGCCCAGGGACACACCAATGAATATACACACATCCCAGGATTCCCTACATTTTTCCATCTGTTCGGGGCGTTCTCGTTTCCCCCAACCCGCTTCCCATAATATCCTATGTTTTTTCCTGGGGGTCGACGATTACTTGCGTCTGTGTGTTTTTCCCCTCCTAATTTTCACTTGAGCGACGGAACGGAAAAAGGGCATACGCGAGAAAACGTAGCGACCTATGTAACGGCTGAGGCGGGCCGCCAGCGCGGTACACCGCATGGAGAAGAGGGTGCTTGCACGAGACCTTGCGCGGGAAGTTTGTGCGCTAGTGTCCGCGCAGTCGACTCCTTTTTCTTCCGTTTGCTCCACCCCGCTGTAGCAGATTAGTGTCGGGCAGACGGAAAGAACGAGGACCGCAAGGACGAGCTTGTGGAGGGGCATACGTGCCAGAAACGGGGCAGTCGCGAGGAGACCTACTGTGCTACATCTTTGTGCTACCCGATGCCAGAAATATCGGCCAGAAGCTCAAGCAACTCACTGATGACTTGGAAGGGTGGGAGGTACAGCAATAGGGTGCTGAGCTTGTGCCTTGGCATGACAGGCAATGGTGTGTGTGCGTGTGTGTGCCAAGTGTTCTGCGTGCCACAACAATGCGCGCGATGATGATGATGCGGACGTGGAATACGAGAGATTATACGAGCATTTGCCGCTGCCTGTTGGTTGTTTCGGGGAGAAACAGATTGAGCAACAGCGCGTGGATCAGTACAAGAACGAGCATCATAGGCTTTTGATTGAGGACCGCCGCTGCTTCGAGGTGGAAGATCGCTCCAATCAAGCTACAAACGAGCTTGCTCGCTGCACTACGGCCCCGACGCGCCTTCAGGTCAGGGTCCACCAGGAGCTGCCACAAGAGATCCAGCGATCACAGCAGAATAGTTACCGGAAGGAGGCTCAATTGAATTCAGCCCAGCACGACGAGCGCCATGAGCGTCAATGGATGCAGAGCCAGTGCGACTCTTATTCGAGATTGGAGCATGGTTGACGTTGGCAAAACATGTTATTGGGTGCCACGCCAACCGAACAACTCCTCGACACGATGTCCGTCACTCCACTGTTCTTGGCCGAGACGGCCAATCGACAACAATAACGGGCATTATCGGGACAAGATGCAGCGCTACAACAACCAAATGCAGCTGCATGATGCTTGCAACAAGTGCGAGAAGGCGAAGACCCAGCTCAAAAGCGCCAACTTACGGACGAAAAGCGCACAGACGGGCTTGCGAAGCGCACAGGCCCCCGTCACCAAGTTGCAGCAGGAGCTGTACAAGGCGCAGCAGGACCTCTCCGTGTGGCAGTCCAGACATGGCAGGCTGGAAGATACGAAGCAGGCCATGGACAGCGAGTGGCTGCCACAGGCCAATTGCTCATTGCCCAGGGTCCTCGGGAGTCTTGCCGCGCTGCGAGTTGCGAGCTTGCGACTCCGAATTACGAGGGCGAGCGATGACTGGGAACGCCTTCTGGGGGCGGCGGTTCGATCTCGAGCGACCGAGTCGGCTCAGCCGCGATCGCGGTTCGATTCGACGCCGCGCGGTTGACGTACATAACAATTCGTTTACGCTTTCGGTCTCGCAGTCTTCTGGGCATTCCTCGGTTGCACCGAGAGTCTGCCACAGTTGCAACAATCAGATGCTTGCCTTCTCCGTTCGTACTGACAAGCCCACTGCAACCTACTTGCAACTACCCGCGCAAGGTCGCGCGTAGGCGCCCTCGTGTCCAACGCGGCGTGCTACGCCAGCGGACCGCGTAAGGTCGCTATGTCATCTTGGGTTAGACCCGCTTCGCTTCGTCGCTGAATTTAATGATATCAAATCTGCGATGTGAGCTGGCTCGTTGTTGGAGGCGCCCTGGGTGAGCTCTCAGCGACCACGTCGCCTCGCCAGGCTGGCCTGAGTTCGGATGGCAAGGAGGTGAGGGGAAGGGAGAAACTACCAAGCAATCGGGACCGAACCCACCGCGTCCCCCGACGGTGGTCAGAGTTGGCAGCATCATGTGTCACGGTGTTGCTGTCCTGTAATGCTTTCGGCCGGCGCACAGTCGTACGCTTTCGTCGCGCAGCGATGCAACAAATGTTGCGTTCTGTTGCGCGTCTGGCAATTGCGTACCCAATTATCTGCGATTCGCGCGCCTCCCGCACCCTTGCGGTGAAGTCGGCTTTGCGGAATGTCTGCAGCGCCGCGAATGTCTCGCCCAAGGTCGGGGCTGACGGTGAAGGCACGTCTCCGGTCCGTTTCTCCCTTCCCGGAAGGGAGAGACCGGCGGGGTGCGCCACTTCTCTCGGGGCTCCCTGCGGGGCGCCCCATCCGCTCGAAGAGGCGCTCGGGAGGCTCGGTCTCACGCTAGGGCCAAGAGGGTGCGCGCCGCAAGACTGGCAGGACTGACGTGACCGGCCCTCCCAACGCAAGACTCGTCTGGCGGGGTGCGCCCCTTCTCTCGGGGGGCTCCCTTGCGGGGCGCCCCAGCCGTGCGAAAAAAGGCGCTCGCGGGAGGCTCGAGCCTCGGCGCGTGCCGCGAAGAGAGGAGCACGGCGGCGGAGGAGCACGGCGGCTCCCAGCACGAGAGATGCCAGGCTGCTTTTTGCGAGTCTGAGAGGGCCCTGGGACACACGAACAAATGCACACTCAGATAGAACAGATTCCCTACATTTTCCTATATTTTCTGGATTTTTGTCTTCCCCCCCACTTCCATATTTTCCCATATTTTCTGGGGAATCTACGATTAAGTGTGTCTGTGTGTTCCTTTCCCTCTTGAGAGTCGTTCCCCCGATCCGCGCGAGAAGCGGAGTTCGAGTGATGAGTTCCTCCCGTGCTCCCCGCGCGTCGCGCTGGTGATCCTCGGTCAAGTGGCGAACACCCCAACTCGTGGCGAAAGTTGTGATTGCGGATTCCAAGCATTGAGGCGCACGCGCGCCGGGCGACGCACAGCCAGCACAAAAAAGGCAAGGCCGCACACGTTGTTCAGTGCGCGCCTGTTTTCTACAACGCATCTTGCGAGAAGGCGTGCATCGAGGTGCAGGCGCAGCACGCGGGCTGCGGCGTCATGGAAGGCGGCCAGCCCGGATCTGTCAACGGCAAAGGCAGAATCGAAGGCACGCGCGCGCCCCCGCAACCTTCGTGGGTGATGGGTCCTTTCACTTATGGCCGCTTTGGAACAAAAAAACAAGAGGTCGCAATTTGGGATGGGGCAAACGTTTCTTCGTGTCGGAGCCCTCGGATCAAGTCAGGTCAGCAGTTCTCCGCTATTTCAAGAAAGACCTCTCCACGAACGCGGACTCGGACGAGAGCGCTGGGACGGGCATCATCCTTTGGGATGCGAAGACCCTGAAGGTCAAGAGCGGCGTGCACTACGGCTGGAAGGACGGCGAAGAGTGTTTCAAATTCTACCACTTCTACCGTGACTTCAGGCTCTGCGTGCCCAACGACGGCCCCCTGATGAACAGAACGAATTCAAAGCCCGGGACGAGTGGATGGACCTCTTGGACATGGAGATGACGCATTCCAAAGAGAGTTGAGCGAACGCCTGCATCAGCACAGATCCAGCGGGGCAACCAGCACGAGAAATGCCAATGCCAGCATGTGCATTACAACGCCCCCCAAAAAACATCCGTAGCCCCACCATGGCACCACCGAAAGAACGGAGAGCATCTGATCTCGAAGAGGGAAGGGCTCGAGGCACGCTTCCGTAAACCCCGGGGGCCTTCGACGGCGTGTCCCCAAGGGCTCCTCAACCATTCGCGCCACTCCGGCTTCTCGCCATCGTTCGGACGTCCATTCATCGTGCATTTTTCGATGTGGTGATCAAGGGTGCTCCTCGATGGCCGTCGCCGAGAAAAAATGCACACGCCCGAACGATGCCAAGGTTTTGGTCCAGGACACATTCCTTTGGGGGGGCGCAGCGGGGGGGGGGGGGGTGCCTGGAGGGGGAAGCGAGGGCTGCAGAAAAGGGGGCCCTTGCATTATAGGCCCAGCGGACGCCTCTGCGGCCCGAAAAAAAACACCCTTTCCCCCCCCCCGTTTATCGCCGCCCCCCTCCTTAAGTCGCACCCAGACTCCTGTTGATGTTCTCATCTGCTCGAGATTTGTGTGGTGTCCGGGACAGGTTCACGTCAAGCACAAGGGACTCGCTGTCGGGCCCCAAGCGAAGCCCCATGGTGGTAGCAGAAAACCTGCTGAGCTTGCACGGCCCCATCAGCTGAGGCTCCCTGGTTCGATATGGCTGCAGGATCCCTCGGTCCGCCCGAGAGAGGAACAGCTCAGAAGCGGAGGGAAATTAGCCTGGCGAAAGACCCAACCATACGCAGGTGTGACTAACGCAATCATGTATATCATCTTTGCCCGCGCTCCCTTTGGGGCCACGAACCGCGCGAGGGGCGTGCCGGAATGCGTGGCGGGCCACACAACGCGAGCGAAGATAGGTCTGCGTGCGAGAGACTGAGCGCGAGTGAGTCTGATTGTGAATGAGTCTGCGCGCGACTCAGTCTACGCGGGTCCACGTCGACGCCCATGTCGGCACGCTCCCCCCGAGGATCGCGCCCGCTTCCTTCCCGTTCGTTTTTGTGTTGTTGTGTTCCTCTCTCTCTCTCTCTCTCTCTCTCTCTCTCTCTCACTCTCTCTCTTTGCCCGCGCACGCCCATGTCCGAGGCTGCGGGCGCGGCGCCGCGCGGAGTCCCCGCGACGCACGCCAGTCGCCCCGAAAGGGACCCCGGCGAGGCGCACGGGTCGTCCGCTGCGCGGAGCAAAGAGAGCTAGCTGGCTGGCTGACAGCGGGCAAGGCAATGGCCGCTGGGCAGAGAGACGACGGGGGCGAGCGAAGCTCTGGGCAGAGCGCAGTGCGGAATTCCCGCGACGCGCGCCGGTCGCCCCGAGAGGGGCCCAGCGACGCGCGCGGGCTGCCCGCGGCGCGAAACCAAACAGGTAGACCGTCGAGAGACGGCGAGGCTCGGGCGGGTCGCTTTTCAAGTCAAGCCTTGCGGATACACTCGGTGAAGCCCAGCTCCCTGGCGAGGGCCGTCGCCTCCCTCCTGCACCGCTCCGTGCGCGGAGCGAACTGCCCCAGCTGCTTCCGCAATTCCTCCGGCGGCCCTGCCAGGAAGAACTCGATGCGCGGCGCCCGTATGAGCAGGTCCTCGCGGGGCGTGGCGCGCGAGAGCAGCACGTAGAGCTCCAGCCACCAGTCGTCGTCCTCCTTCTTGCCGTTCCCCGCCTGGGCGGCGTCGGCCGAGGGAGCAGCGCGCCAGACAGCCGACGGCCCAGGGCGAGAGTCCAGGAGACCGAGAGAAGGTTTCCAAAACGTGTGAGGGGCCACGAAACGTGTGAGGGGCGTGCCAAACTGGGGCGGCGCCGCCATGCGGGCTGCGCCACTGGGACCCTAGATGGGGCTCCCTATGGGGCTACGAAGCGTGTGAGGGGCGTGCCAACATGGGGCGGCGGCGCCATGCGGGCTGCGCCACTGGGACCCTAGATGGGGTTCCCTATGGGGCTACGAAGCGTGTGAGGGGTGTGCCAAAATGGGGCGGCGGCGCCATGCAGGCTGCGCCACTGGGGCCTTAGGGGAGGCGACACCTGGGAGGTCTTCGCGGGCGCCAGATGACGGGCCTGTCAGGCCCGACAAAACCAAACTGATCGAATCGAACAAACACCGCCGAAACGGCACCCCGGGGTCTCATTCCGACCCTTCGGCGCGTGAGCCCGTTAGGCCGCCGAATGGGCAGGCGAACGGGATAGTTAACTAGGCCGCCGAATGGGCAGGCGAACGGGATCAAGTCCAGGATGCTGGTGGGAACTGTGCCCGCTCGGCGGCGGAGTGGGCTCGATCTTGAGTCCATCCGGCGACCGAACGGACTCAGACGCCGAGCGGGCTCAGCAGCGAACCTCTGGGTGCACCTTCTGTTGGCACGCCCGGAAGGGGCACGAATGTAAGGAAGCGAACTTTATACACCGATGCTTTTTGTCTGGTCCAGCACTGAGATTCGCACAAGAAAACGGATTCTGGTGTATACGGCATCCCGGTGTATACATGTTTTGCTGTTTCCACTGGAAAACGGGGAAACAAGTATACACCACACCACCCCGACGCCGTCCCCGACCCTCAAAACTTCCTGGGCCTGAACACCAGCCCGCCACTGGTAATGTATATGCTCCAGTTTCCGAGAATGGGCACCATGCCCAACAGCCCAGGTCGACCAAACCAGACGGAGGCCGCAATTGAGCATGCGCCTGTCTGCCTCGAACGGACAACGTCCGCGGCGATGCCGACAAGGAGGCCGGTTCAAAGTGGACAGGTATGGCAAGGCTTCGGGTTGAGCAAAGACAGCCCCCCTGGGTAGCCCCAGCTGGCCTCAACAGGCCGCCCGAGCAGCCCAGGGCGGTCTCAAGACCCCAACCCTGGGGCGCGGAGCGCCCCAGGGGCGCCGCCAGAGGCGGCGCAGGGGCGTTGGGACCGCTCCTCACTGTTGAGGCCCGCCGGGACTACCTAGGAGGGCCTGTTGAGGCCAGCTTAAGTCGGCCCTGTCCCTCTACAGGGGGGATATTCAAAAATAGTCCAAAAATAATCAGGGGACTATTTTTTAGTATTTGGGAAATCTTGTGAATATGTCTTGAATATTTCATATTTTCGTCCAAAATACCCCTGTAGGGGGACAGGCCCGACCTAAGGTCAGCTGGGACTGCCTGGGGGGACTGTCTGTCCGCAACCCGAACGCGGCTGACCCGAGAGGGGGTCCAGCTGAAAGGGGGCGGTGCAATAGGTCTGGGGCAATTGTATTGCAAATGCTGCTGATACACTGCGCCAGAAGGGTGCATTGCATCGCAACTAGTGTTTTGCACGCGGAAGCCCAGCAACACACTTGCGCACCGGAATGCACTGCACGCCCCAGACCCCTCGCAAACCGCACAAATCTATTGCGCCAAATCTGTTGCACCACCCCCTTGTCGCTGGACCCCCTTTCGGGCGTTGGCAGAACTGGGTTTAGTGGAACCTGGTTTAGTGATTTGTACCAGGGGCGCCACCCCGCCCCATTTCCACTAACCGGAACTGCCGTCACCCGAAAAACGCCAATTACGGCAAGCCTGGTTTAGTGAATCTGGCCAATTCAGGGGCCCTAGGGCCCTACCACTAACCGGGTCCCCTTACAGGGGGTCCTGGCTATACCCGACCCTTTCTGGGTCAACCAGGACGCCGAAGCCTTGCCAGGAACGGCTGCCCGTCGTCGCACGGCCTCTGCGGCGGCGGGCGGCGGGCGCCCCCGGCGGCGTCCTCGGGCAGCAGCCGCTCCCAGAGCGCCGCCGGCTGCGCCGCGCGCCCGACCAGCAGCCGCGCCTCCTGCCGGGCGGCCGGCAGCGGCCGGCAGCGGCCGACGGCGGAGACGGCGGCCCCTGGTGGGCGCTTTCTTGCTCGGCGTTTCGACCGTGGGCGGAAGGGGAGGGGAGGGGGGGGGGCTGGCGTTGGACCCCTGCTTAGTGCGCAGCAGTGCGTCCTAGATGGGGAAGGCTCTACCTGCCCGAAACAGGTACCAAAAACAGCCAAGATCTACTCCATGGGGGGCGGGGAGGGGGGGGGGCGAGGGCCCGCGCCGATCGGCAAAACAACGACTAAGAAAACGATCACCCCTGAGATCTGGACGTTGCGTTTGTTTCACATCGGGCGTTTCGCTCGGTTTCGGGCCCTGGGGCCTCACAGGCAGATCTGGCTCGAGAAGCGCCGCAGAAAGAGATGGGACCTGGGGCTCTGGACGCGATTGCTTGCTATAGGCTGCAATTTCCCCGCAAAGTCGGACCTCAGCGACGGCGACGGGCGACGGGCGACGGCGGCGGGCGGCGGCGGCGGACGACGGCGGCGGGCGGCGGCGGCGCCGACGGAGGAGGGACGGCGCAAAGACACCGGAGAGCCAGGAGGACCAGGAGGAAGAGGAGGAGGAGGACGAGGAGGAGGGGGACGACAAGGCCGACCAGGAGGGGCACCTCTGGGTAGAGCCGCTCTGAGCCCACGCAGCCGACGTCGCATTTGTTCACAGCTTGGCTCCCCAGGTGCCGGAACCCCTTTGCGGAGGCTGGCGTTCCGTCCTGAGCCGGCTCTTTGGGCGGTCCTGGCCCGAAGGGCCCACAGCTTGCCGCGCCACGCTGGGGGCCCCAGGGCCCTCTGGGCCTCGTGGATGATGGAGGAGGAGGAGGAGGAGGAGCGAGGAACGAGGAGGAGGAGGAGGGGGGGGGAGGAGGATGAGGAGGAGGAGGAGGAGGAGGAGCAGGAGCAGAGGGAGGAGAGGAGGAGGAGGGAGGAGGGAGGAGGAGGAGGAGGAGGAGGAGGAGGAGGAGGAAGGAGGAGAAGGACGAGGAGCATCCTCGGGGACGCCCTGAGGACAAAGACACCTTCTTGGCAACCGCAGGGCCGCGGGTCGCTCCCGCCCGGAGCCGAGCGGCCGCTTCGGCGCGCGGGTGCTGCACTCTGCCGCCGCCGCGGCGGCGCCAGTGGCGGCGGTGGTGCCGCCCCCGCTGGCGAGGGCGGTGGGGCACCGTGGCGGAGCGGGACGGCCACAGCGGCCCGCAGGCCGCTGTTAGACAAGCGCGTTCCACCATTCGCAAGGTAACTACTCGCAAGCGGCCTGGATCCGCCGCGGGGGACTTACGATACATTACGTCGACGCGTTGCGAGTAGGCACTTTGCGAGTAAGCACTTTGCGAGTAGTCGAACGCGTTCGGTGAGCTGTGGCCGCCGGCCGCCATGGTGATGCCTGGCGGCGGCGGCGCTGCCGCGCCTGCCAAGCAGAGGCGGCCGGCGCCCGCGCGGCGCCGAGCGGCTCGCCGCGATGGGGAACACCGGGACAGATCGCCAAAGCGAGCGCCAAGGAGGAGCGAGGAGGCTGATTGGCCAGAAAAGGGCCCCTCACCCTTTGGGAGGGAACCTCAGTTAGGAGAGGCAGAAACACTAGGGGTAGGGGCTCTTGCCTGCAGATGCATCGAGCCAAGCCGCCCAGATCTACGATCCCTCATGCAAAGTCGGTTGGCCTCAGTGAGGCCACGTCTTCACTGCGCTATGAAGGTGTCCGGGGGTGTCCTTTCCTTCTCGCTGAGAGGCGGGCCAGCGGCCGCACGGCTCAGACCGTGACCGCCCCCGTGGGGGGTGGCGCCGCGCCAGGCCCCAGGCATGCCGAGGGGCCGGCTTTTTCGGTCTGGGCGCTCTTCCTCGATCTCGCTCTGCTGGGTGCCGCCTCTGGTCCAGAATGTCAGGCGTTCGTCCACGGGGGGGCCAAGAAGCGGGGGTGACGACACGTGGCCCTCTCGTGCAACCTCTGGGCCCGCGGTGGCAGTTCAGGAACCAGCTGGGGCCCCTTCAAAAGCCACATCCCTGCAATCCTCGATCCTCCCACGTTTCCTGCCCCCTCCGCTGCCGTCCGCCCAGCCCAGGGCCATCAAATACATATCCTGGGTGGAAAACCGCTCCCGGGGAGAAAGGCCTGGAACTCTTAGGGGCCGCGGGATGAAAAATCAGATCGTCGGTGTCTGGATTGGCACCCCGCGCGGCTCCAGCTGCCAGCGGGCCAGGGGTTGGATTTATGTTCCCTATGGCCAACGACGTCCTCGTCTGCCGTCGTTGTCGTTCGATGTTGTTCGCCGTCTGCTCACGGCGGCGTGGGCGCAAAGCCGGCACAGCAACCACTGCCTCGCCCCCTCCTCATACTCCTGCCCTCCTCCTCCTCCTGTTCCTTCTCTTCTTCTTCGTACGAGTGCAATTCTCATGGATAATAATAGCAGCATTGGTAAGCTTGATGCTTTGTTAGTACCCGCAATAGGGAATAACGTATGATTACCCTTCGTGGTATTACGAGCATTATGTTACTAGTGATAAATGTTACGTTGGCGGCTGCTAATACGAATTTAATTCGCATCGCTAGTAGTGTTATTATTAGCATATTTAGTAGTGGCAGTAGCAGTAGCAGTAGCAGTAGTAGTAGTAGTAGTAGCAGTAGTAGTAGTAGTAGTAGTAGTAGTAGTAGTAGTAGTAGTAGTAGTAGTAGTAGTAGTAGTAGTAGTAGTAGTAGTAGTAGTAGTAGTAGTAGTAGTAGTAGTAGTAGTAGTAGTAGTAGTAGTAGTAGTAGTAGTAGTAGTAGTAGTAGTAGTAGTAGTAGTAGTAGTAGTAGTAGTAGTAGTAGTAGTAGTAGTAGTAGTAGTAGTAGTAGTAGTAGTAGTAGTAGTAGTAGTAGTAGTAGTAGTAGTAGTAGTAGTAGTAGTAGTAGTAGTAGTAGTAGTAGTAGTAGTAGTAGTAGTAGTAGTAGTAGTAGTAGTAGTAGTAGTAGTAGTAGTAGTAGTAGTAGTAGTCGTAGTAGTAGTAGTAGTAGTAGTAGTAGTAGTAGTAGTAGTAGTAGTAGTAGTAGTAGTAGTAGTAGTAGTAGTAGTAGTAGTAGTAGTAGTAGTAGTAGTAGTAGTAGTAGTAGTAGTAGGTAGTAGTAACAGTAGTAGTAATAGTGTAGCAGTAGTAGTAGTAGTAGTAGTAGTAGTAGTTAGTAGTAGTAGTAGTAGTAGTAGTAGTAGTAGTCGTAGTCGTAGTATCAGTAGTAGTAGTAGTAGTAGTAGTAGTAGTCGTAGTAGTCGTAGTGTAGTCGTAGTAGTAGTAGTAGTAGTAGTAGTAGTAGTAGTAGTAGTAGTAGTATAGTAGTAGTAGTAGTAGTAGTAGCAGTAGTAGTAGTAGTAGTAGTAGTAGTAGTAGTAGTAGTAGTAGTAGTAGTAGTAGTAGTAGTAGTAGTAGTAGTAGCCGCAGTAGTAGTAGTAGTAGTAGCAGTAGCGGTAGCAGTAGCAGTAGTAGTGGTAGTAGTAGTAGTAGTAGTAGTAGTAGTAGTAGTAGTAGTAGTAGTAGTATCAGTATTAGCATGAGTATCAATATCAGTAGTAGTAGTAGTAGTAGTAGTAGTCGTAGTAGTAGTAGTAGTAGTAGTAGTAGTAGTAGTAGTAGTAGTAGTGGTAGCAGTAGTGGTAGCAGTAGTAGCGGTAGTAGTACTAGTATTGTTGCGAGTGGTCCTATCAGTAAGAATAGTGTGACTAGCCTTATGACTCCCATTAGTGTATAAACGCGGTTACTGTGGTTATTCGTCTTATTCTGATTCCTCCTCCTCCTCCGAGAGAAAGAGAGGAGAGGGAGGATTGGCGACTGGCGGAGAGGGATCTGAAGAGAGAGCGAGAAGGAGAGACCGAGGGATAGGGAGAGCGGGAGGCAGGGAGGGAGAGGGGGAGTAGAAGAGGGAGCGGGGAGGGGGAGTGGGAGCTGCAGGGAAAGGGAAACGGTCTAAGCTCATTGACCATCTTGCGGGGAAAGCGACTGCAAAGCTGGAAAGCACCAGGGCTGGGCCGCACGAACCGCAAGCCTGCACCATCGAAACAACAGATTCACCATTCGGGGCTACTGGCGAGGCGACTCGGCCCGGCTGGGGCGGGCGGAGGCACAAGCCCAGACGCACGACACCGTGATAAGACAGCGGCTACGAGAATCGAGACGGGCACTATCGGCCTCGTGAATCCGTAGAGCCCATGTGTATACATATATATATATATATGTAAAATAATATACAAATGTAGCTATGGGTATATACGTACATATGTGTATACAACTGTGTAGGTATACGTATGCGTACACATATATATATATATATATATATATATATATATATATGTGTATAACTCTCTCTATATATATACATACTGTATCACTCCTCGCGGCCACGCTTGGTTCATAAACCCTCTGGTGTACTGTTGTCTGATCACTCCTGAAAGTCCGCGGGGAGGGGGAGACAAAACGGGGCGACGAAGAGCCGTCGTGAACTTCACCAGCGGGGGGCGTCGGTGTCGTCCCATGCGCGCACGCGTACTGGCAAGAGGGAGGGCCGTGCCCCAGCTGTCGGTGCCCAGGCCACTCTGGCAGGGGCGGCGTGGCCGCCCAAAGCTCGCGGAGCGAGCCTGCAAGACAGGAGCCGTCAGCATCACAGGCTGGAGGTCGCCGCTGTTGTACGGATGCCAGGGCATACAGTAGGGGCTCGACCACAAGACACCTTCCACAAGAAACCCAACCCTGAGACCCCAGGGCGTCCACTGATTTTTGGACTGGGAACGTCGCGCTTTCCCTAGTAAGACCGTCGAGACCCAAGAAACCCAGGGCACCCTGGAGGCAAGCAGGGTGTTTCTTGGCATGGGTCTCCACTGTAGATGCCAGCTGCTGAGAAAGGAGGGGGTCGCGGGGGCTAGCCTGACAGCTCGCCTCCAGCGTGCGTTCCTCCACCGGGATGCGCTCGAGGTCGGATGCGGCCTGGGCCCCCGGTCGAGGGGACACCGAGCTCGTGCCTACTGCTGCTGCACCTCCGCCCCCACCTCACCCTGGTCACCCCCAGCGTACTGCCACCCGGAGGCAGATTCTGGGGGCACTGGGCCCAGATTCTAGGGAGCACTGAGAGGAACGAGGAGGAGGAGGAGGAGGAGGAGGAGCCAGAACTTGGCGGTTGGGGCGCCCATGCCCCCAGAGTCTGGCGTCGAGGCCGCTCCACCGCCCTCTCGGTCGTCAGCAGAAGCAGCGACGCCGCCACGACAACAGTGGGGGCCACTGGGACACCAGTGCGACCACGACTGGCCCCGTTACGACAGGGTTGACGCCACCTGCGATGCAAGGTCGATTGCCAGGTCCAGCTATCCTGTTTCATCTATTTCCCTTGAGAAATGCTCCACTTGCCCGTTCAGCTTTGCCTGCTCGCCCTGCGTGTGGGTAGCGGGGGGGCGCGGGAGTGGCAGTATTCATTGGCTTCAGTGACTTTGATCAAAAGAACCACCCACATGACGCTGCACGTGCAGCGCCAAGAGCGGCGGACTGGTCATCCGCCATCCCACAATACGGGACGGCGCACACTCATGGCGAGCAGGACGCGGTGGGCACTGAAGAGCATCGTGCGGATCTGAAACAATACAAAAACTGCATCGTAGCTGCCGCGATTCACTGCGAAGTTGGATAAATCATCGAAGTCACGACTCACAGAACTCGTTGACTACTAGCACCATTCTTTAGTTTTCTGTCTCTATTTCTCTTTCTCTCTCTCTCTCTCTCTCTCTCTCTCTTTCTCCTGTGGACCGTGCGCTGGACTTGATTCCATGCACTGCAGCGATGTCATTGAATTCACAGGGGAAGGAAATCGGTGGGGAACCCTTCATCCCAGACCCCCAACGGCATTTTGTTCACAACGTCGACCCCCAGAGGTATGGACCCCCTCCTTGGGACCTGCTATTCATCCGATCGTTTATTGACGGTCCCGAAGCCCAGTGTGGGCCCCCAGATCCCCAGAATAAAGAAACACCGGGTGTCGCTGTTTCACGACACGAGGGGGTCTGGGGTGTTTTCGTCCTCTTGCGTTATTCCCCCTTCCTTCGTTCTCTCGCTCTCTCTCTCTCTCTCTCTTTTGTGTTGTTGTTGGTGGTGTTGTTGCTGTTGTTGGTGGTGATGTTCTTGTTTTTGCTGCTGTTGCTGTTGCTGTTGCTGTTGCTGTTGCTGTTGCTGTTGCTGTTGCTGTTGCTGTTGCTGTTGGTGTTGTTGTTGTTGGTGATGTTGTTGTGTTCTCTCTCTCGATCTCTCTTTCTCGACCAATCCAAGCATGAATCCCTCAAAGCACACGTGGCAGGAGGAAGTGAGGGGGGGGATGCAGGGGAGAGCGGGCTACCCGCCCGATGCCGCCGTCGCGGACACCAGGGACATGGATCTCTCTCACTCTCTCTCTCCCTCTCTCTCTCTCCTTCGGTGCCTCACTGGCCCTCTCTCGCCCTCGCGTGGGTCCAGCCTGCAAGCTCGGGGAGCTCAACGACCACGGCGACCTCTACCCTCGCGACCAAAAGCGGACAGCACTCCAGCACGACCCAGTCCTCGACAGTGGGACGCAGAAGGACCTACTAGTACTAGACGTCTTCCTTAGAGGCGTGCGCCCGACCCGAACATACACATAGAATAAGCATGTTGTAGCACATCATTTCGCGGGCGGTATGGCCAGAGAGCGCCCGCCGCGGAGCTTATACCATACGACTTCTCGGCGCGCGCGCGCGCCGCCCCTGGAGGGGGGAGGGGAGGGCGACGCACACATAGCATTAGCATGATGGGCTGACACCGAGACATCTTCACGCTCGTCCACCACATGTTCAACCGCTGTGCTTTCAATCGCTGCGTTGCGTGCACAGCGGGAGCTCCAGGACATTGGGGCCGGTCGCGGGGAATTCGACCTGCACGATTTCAACCCGTGCCCTTCGCTCCTCGCTCCCTCCCTCCTATCGGCCTCCCTGCCTACCCTGCCTCCGGTTGATTCCACCACTGAGAGCTCCAGCACGCCACAGTCTGTGACTGTCGGCAGAAGGCTAGGTGCAGCGACCTTGGGTACGACCGACGAGTGCTCCAGCACGTCAGAATCCGCGACCACTGAAGGTTGAACACCTGGTCAACCACCTTTGCGAGACCCCCCCGAGGTCCCGGGAGGCCTCCGGAGGCCCCCGGAGCCAGAAACGTCCGACACCCTGCCCCTTCGACGGTCCTCGAGTGTCGAGGGCAAAACGTGGCACCTCCTCCTCCTCCTCCTCCTCCTCCTCCTCCTCCTCCTCCTCCTCCTCCTCCTCCTCCTCCTCCTCCTCCTCCTCCTCCTCCTCATGCTCCTCCTCATCCTCCTCCGTAGCCATTTTGGCTCAAGTCCTCGGCCTCTGGGGGCCGAGGACACCACAGCATTTCACTCCTGGTCAGGTCCAGGAGCTTGGGGCTCGAACATTTCGTGTTCGCTTCCGCCCCCAGAGTTTTTCGGATCATTCCCCACCAGTCTGCCATGCCTGCCACTCTTGCGAAGAAGCACCTCTCCATCGTGATCTGCGGGCATGTCGACATCGGCGAGAGCACCACCACCGCCAGCCTCAACTACGACCTGGGCGGCCTTCCGCAACGCGAGCTGGAGAAGCTGAAGGAGGAGGCCGTATGCCTAGTACCAGGCTCCATCGCCTTCACGTTCTACATGGACCGTCAGAAGGAGGAGCACGAGTGCGGGGTGACCAGCGCCTGCACCACCCAAGACTTCTACACCGAGAAGTGGCACTACACAGTCTTCATCGATGCCCCAGGCCATCGCAAGATCAACAAGGTCGCAAACCTGCAGAAGAAGGCTGACAACATGGGCTGGTGGAAGGGCTGCAATGTCAAGTACGGCAAGGACTACGCCACCCACAGATACAAGCAGTTCCGCTATGCCGAAATCGGAAAGAAATGTAGATCATGGTGGTCAAGGACGGGTGGTACAAGGACTTCGTAGAGAAGGAAATGCCTGCGATGCCAGTCTCCGGCCGGTTGGGCGACTATCTGCTAACGAAGTCTGACAACATGGACTGGTGGAAGGAGTGCGTCGGCGAGTACGGCAAGGCCCGTGCCATGCAAAACATCCATCATAAGTCTGGATGGTTTTACCTTTCTCCGCTTGCCGCCTGAGGCAAGCCATGCTGCAATTAGGGCTCGCTCCAGGCCTTTGCATTCCGCTGCCCATTGGTGCATAAGAATCTTGGGAGAGGCCCGTGGGATTAGTCTTCCCCGCTCTCCGTGATGAGCCGTGGTCTGCATCTGTGTTGCTTTGACTTTCTTGTCTTGTGCACTATTGCGGTGTGCACCCGTGCAGGCGTCTTGTTTCTAAGTGGCGCTCTGCTTAGTATGTGTTGCCCAGTCGATCAAAGCTTGTAAAGACAGACCGTAGAAGTCAGTAAATCAGGTTGAGAGCTTCCCAAAAGGGTGGTGCTTCCCTGAAAATCATGCACGGCAGCCCTGACAGAAGGGAGTGGCTCGGCGATTGGAGCTCCGCCGAGTCCTACGGCCCATCCCCACAGCGGGATCCCTGGCCGCGGGCGGCTAGTAGTCACCAGGCGACCGCCCCCTCCACCACGCGCTAATCCTCCTCATCCTCCTCCTCCTCCTCCTCCCCCTCCTCCTCCTCCTCCTTCAAATTCCTCCTTCCTCCCTCCTCCCTGTTCCTCCTCCTCACCCTTCCTCCCTCCTGCCTCTACCTCATCCCTCCACCCTTCTCCCTCCTCCCTCCTCCCTCCTCCCTCCTCCTCCTCCTCTTCCTCATCCTCCCCCTCCTCCTCATCATCCTCCCCCTTCTCCTACTCCTCCTCCTCCTCCTCGTACTCCTTCTCCTGCTCCTCCTCCTCCTCCTCCATATTCCTCTACGCTTTCCGTTGCGGCCCACTCGGTTCGACAGAAAAGATCGCTGAGGGCGCGGCCAGCGCCCGGGAGAAAGTGCACCGGAGCGCCTTGGCGCTGCGCCAGCGGGAGGGGCTCGCGCACTGCCGTGAGAGATCGTTGCGCGCCGTGGGCGCAAGATCCGATCAAACGTTTGAGGGTCGACGATGCGTAGGGGGGAGGAGGGGGGGGGAACCTCGACCTGGAATCGGCGATACATCGCCGATGGATCGGCGAGAGGCCCCCGGTGTCGAAGCCGCCCGCTCCTGGGCGGGCTGGGCCATCGGGCCCCTAGCGGCGATGCACGGGCGATCGAAGGTTCGAAGGTCGACGCATCCCCCCCCACACACACCTATCCCCTTGACTATGGGACGCACAGAGACATACTGATACTGGATGTCCTCCTCGGAGGCGCGCGTCCGACCCGAACATAGAGTATACCCATCTTATCGTATATCGTTTCCCGAGCGGTGCAGCCAGAAAGCGCCCGCCACGATGCATACACCATGTCTCGGTGCGAGCATCGCCCCTGGGGGGGCGGCGCACACATAGTATTAGTATGTTGGGGTGCAGCCGACAACTATTCTGACTCAGCTCCTGCGGCTGTTCGGGACGAGTCGGGAACCCCAGAGCGGTCTCGGCGAGGCGCAGCAACCCGAGGGCTGGACGACAACGAGCGTTAACGTTGCCGGTGCTACTGAGGCGAGCAGCCGGTACCCGGGGGTGGGGTTGAACAACTCGGGGGTCCCGCCGCCGAGCGCCGGGTGTGGTGCCTCGGGCAGTGCACCAGGTTTCGGTGTCGCCATCGGGTCAGTCGCCCAGGTGTTGCTGGGTCAAATACTCTGGATAGTATCTGGGCCCCTCGAGTGTGCTAGAACCAAAACGAATCAGGCCCCAACGGAGTGTTCAGTCTTCTCGCAATTCTGCAAGGACAACGCATCTTCGCGCCGAGGCTCTGTCTGTGGCTCACGACAACTCTGATAATACACTACAGACGGTGCTGCAAAACTCTGCAGAATGGCGCGCAGTTGTGGCCCAACGCTGTGCAATGTAGCATCGTGGTTTCCTGATTGCCACGCACTTTCCCGTCTCTCTCCATCGCCCGCCTCCCCGTCCCCCTCCCTCTGACATGTCGCGCAGCCATCCGCGGCACTCCGTGGGGAACAAAGACTTTTTACGGCTCCCCGAGGCGATGTGCAGCCGTGTGTCTTTTGTTCCTGCATGCAGGGCACGCGTGAGATTCGCACGTTCCATCCGTCTGCCGATGCGCCGTCAGGGCACGGCG